AAAATATGACTTTGCATTAAAGGCCACCTATCACTGTATTTTTAGGCAATAGCATAGGTCTCAGATATATAAAAATATGTCTATGAAGTGTTTTGCTCAAAATACCAAACAGATCACCCATTTACAGTGTTGGGCAAGTTACTTTTAAAAAGTAACTAGTAATAGTTATAGTTACTGCTCTCAAAAAAGTAACTAGTTACTTTATTAGTTACTAAATGATAAAAGTAAATAGTAACAAGTTACTTTACTTTACTTTAAAAATAATAACATAAAAATACAAGTGTTTGTGTTGTTCTGTGGCACAGTAAGAGAAAAGACAACTCCCCATCATTGTAGCATAATAGAAACATTAACATTATTGATAGATTACCGGCCCTCAAGCGAGTACTGCAAGACATAGCCCAAGAACGCAATGGTGAGAGATCTATTGAGGCACGTGGTCTGCTGGCACAGTTGGATCTAGAATTCATTGTGCATCTTGTAACACTCCGTAAAGTGTTTGCAGAAACAACATTTCTCTCTGCCATGTTACAGTCTTCATCCCTTGACCTTTCAAAGGCTGTGGATTTAGTTGGATCTTTAGTTCAGAGATTGAATGACTTCAGGCAGGAGTCATTTTTTGATAACTTGTGGGATGAAGTGTTGAACATTTCTGAGCAATGTGATAGTGCAATACAGCCAGCAGCAAAACAACAAAAACGACTGAGCTCTAAACTTGCTGAAAGCTTCGTACTGACTATTGTTGGACAGAGAGAGACAGAACAAGATAAACACGGGTTTCGTACAGCCTTTTTCTACCCTGTCATTGATCAGAGGCTCAATGAGCTTAATAGACGGTTTTCAAACACAAACTGTGACATGATGAATAGCATCCAAGCTCTTAACCCCAAAAGTGATGCATTTCTGAAGGAGACAACGTTTTCATTTGCTCAGTTGTACGATGCAAATATTGAGGACTTGGAGCATGAGCTACATCAGTCAGCAGAATTTTAGATAGGAAAATAAAGACTGGGATGCAGAGACCTGATAGTACAGTGGAGCTTGTTCAGTTCATTGAGCCTTATAAAGAAGTGTTTTTTGAGCTCTTCAGACTCTGCAAAATAGCAGTCGCAATCCCAGTCAGTTCTGCTTCCTGTGAGCGTAGTTTTTCTACATTGAAGCTGGTCAAAACCTTTCTCAGATCCATCATAACTGATGAGAGACTGAGCAATCTGGGTGTGCTTAGTATTGAGTCAAGGAGGTCAAAGGCTTTGAATCTTGACTTATTTGTTGATCGGTTTGCCAAAAATCACAAAAGCCGCAGGATTTTGTTGCTGTAATGTGACATTTTGGGAAGGAAACTACAGCCTGGGATGCAGACACCCTTATGTAAAGTAGAGATGTAACTGTTCATTGCCTTTATTTTTATATGTAAATCTGTGTGTTTTCCAGATATCACTGTTTTACGTTTATTAGAAATGTGACGGAATAGACGAAACTGATTAGTGCGCGTGCAGAACAGGTGTGCATTCTGTATTCAGTCTTCATGTTTGTTAAATAGCCTACGTGTCTGTGCTTATGGGAAATAATACATCTGAAATCTATGTTTTCTATCTATATCCATGTATTTTATTTAAGTCAACATTTAAGATTTGTAGACTTTTACATGAAATCCTTTTCTGTGGATTTAAAAATATATATTTTCTGGTACTCTTGTTGCATAAACTTGTTGATCGGTTTGCCAAATATTTTTTGTTTTGTTGCTGTAATGTGAGATTTTGGGAAGGAAACTACAGCCTGGGATGCAGACACCCTTATTTAAAGTAAAGATGTAACTGTTCATTGCCTTTATTTTTATATAAATATGATATGGTGTTAGTGCAAAAATGGTACTATAACTTAAGCTGAAGCTAACAGTAATAACTATAAGATCTATCTGAAATAAATAAGTGTACTGAAACAAATACCAATAACTGTATTGCATTGTTTTCTTATGCCCAATTACTTCATACTGTCTAGTTCTCTTTTTCGTCCTGCATTTATTGTGCCCCCCTCAGAAAATAACTGGCCCCCCAGTGGCCCCCCCAGTCAAATTGGTCTAGAACCGCCACTGTTATACAGACCCAACGCCAAGCCCAAGGTTTGTTTGTAGATACAGCAGTATAGTTCATATAGTTAGTGTAAGCTACATTCAGGCCAAAACACTTTTTTTCAGGGAAACATTTATATATAAAAACGACACTATGCTAAGTGTAACTTACTGCATTTGACCATGAAGACTGAATGTAATAATGGGGGGTTAGACCATGGCTACGACACTATCATAGAGATAGGCACAGCAATACATTTGATACGCTGATGTTTTGTACCCTAGTACTTTATCTCTCTTAAAAAACACACACACACACGCACACACATAGGGATCTGAGAGCTTAGCAGGTCATTAGGCTGTTAGGGGCCTGTCTCCACTGATGAGACCTCAATGACTGCGGTTTCATGGAACAATGTTCCATCAAAAGTAATCAGTCAGATTGGCAATTATAAGTATTATCATGAGTGCAACATTTGAATAGTAAAATAATCTAAAGTGTTCACATGCTACACATTAATTATTCAGAATTCTGTACACGGTCACTTCAAAGACATCAGGCTCTCCTGGATAAAGGTGCGTGTCCTGAGCTAACGGCTGTGCTTTAAATGAAGCTAAACATCCCCCCCTATTCTGTTAGTAATGTCTGTCACAGCTGTGGTTGATTTATGGGTAAGGTTAGGTGAATGAACTTGGTTAAGGTTGCGATTAGGAGGTTGCCATGGCAATACAAAATACACTATGTGATACACTTCCTGTATTAGTGCCCTTGAGCAAATCTCTGGATTGAAAAAATAACAGCTTAAATGTATATATTCTAAATGAAATGAATGATAAAAATAGGTACGTCCATTGAATACAAAGTTAAAACACAAGAGAGGGGTCAACTATATAAAAGGATCCAGGAGTGCAGAATAAAATATTAAGCACACATTTAAAACAAGGTTGCTATCACATTTGGATTTATTTTTCCTATAAAGATGTTGCAACAGTTACTATGTGTGTGTGTGTGTGTGTGTGTGTGTGTGTGTGTGTGTGTGTGTGTGTGTGTGTGTGTATGTGTATGGAGGTCAGTGTGGAGACTCCACTCAGGTCAGGGTCTCAAGGAGAGAGAACAGATAGATCCCATATGCAGCGGCAGCAGTAGTAGTGTTATTATTGTAATTACACTGCCAGTTTGTCTGTGTGTCACCCTCAGCCCGCCCCTAAATCTGACTGGACATGAAAGTGTTTGAACAGCCAATTAGGTCACAGAACTAGCCAGGGTTAGTGTCAGCTGTGTTAGTGAAGGGGTTAGGTAGGAGTCGCTGTGGTAGATGTGTGACCCTCATCACACTGATTCCATGTTTTATTTGTCTTTCCCTGTGTTCTTGTCTTCTTCCACCACAAACAAATACATCTATAAGTTTGTCCCACCTCTAAACTAAAACTATGAAGTATACACATAAACATAAGTAAATACAGCAGCAAGCTTTAGGAAAAGCTCCTCCCTCAGGAATTCCGTAACCTTTGGTAACAACGGTTTCAAATAAAACTCCAACACCTTTAATGGTGTTTCTCATTTCTTGTAAACCTCTTTTTGTTTTCAAATCGGATGTTTATAGGCTGTTTGGTTTTGCAAGAGTCACTGTAAATATACAAAACTGTATAGTAAAATGCACACATTTATTGTTTCCTAGACTAAACACAGGTATGTGACCCTAAGTTAAAAAACAAGGTAATCATGAAGTTATTACATCTCTATGAATATACTAAATGTGACTTGTTTTGCGCTGTTTAGTAAATGTTTGCATGAACTATTTGTTCACAGCGTGATTCCTGACGGTCGGTTAGGTAGAGCAGCAGGTGAGTCAGGGCCGATGCAGACTCTCTGCTGGAGGGTTGATAACCCTCTCCCCCTCCACACTTGTTGGATTGGAACAGCACTTAATGTGGCAGACCCTCCAGGTGAACGTGCAAACGGAGGGGTAGTGTGTAGGGGTTGGTTTGGAATTGGGACTTAGTGTTCATCTCATCCATTCCCCGGTGCCAACATGAAGGATATTTACTACAGTCAAAACCTGCTCACACTCACCATGTTATCATCTCATAGGTTCTGCTAAATCAGATTTTGCAGATACTTAGACTTTAAATCTTTCCTTAAAATCAACCACCAGTTGACAGTGAGGGAATATACAAGTTAAAAAAAGTCTACAGGTTCAGCAAGGTGATGTAAATGTGCTACAGGTTGACAATTATATATGATGTTATATGTCCTTGAACTAGTATGGATAGCAGCCAAAACAAAAAGTGTATATGTTGCCACATTTCTTCCATGTTCTACAGAGCTAAAAACAGTATGGGGTCAAATATCCCCCATGGAAAACCCAAAATGTAAAAAATATATCATTTACATTTCGTAAAAAAAAGAAGTGAACCTATTAATTCCTGCAAGGTATCTTCAGTCAACATGTCAAAATTCCAATCCCAATAGCATGGCCGATTGTGTGTGAGTGTGTTGACCACATCACCCCAATTCTGGCCACACTGCACTGGCTTCCAATTCGGTTCAGAATTTATTTTAAACTCCTTTTATTTGTTTTCAAAGCCCTAAATGTGCTGGCTCCGGCCTATATAGCTGAACTCCTCCAGCACTACACCCCAGCCAGAGCCTTAAGGTCGGCTGAGCAGCTGCTGCTGATAGTGCCCAAGACCAGGCTCAAAACCCGAGGGCACCGAGCCTTCGCAGCAGCTGGCCCTAGGCTCTGGAACACTCTGTCCCTCCATGTGAGGTTGGCCCAGACCCTAGGGGTTTTTAAATCTACTCTTAAAACACACTTCTTTTCCCTGGCCTTTTAGCTAGAGCGGAGCACGACTCCTGACTTTTCCCTGTGTTTTTTATATATCTGTTGTAATGTATTGTCTTTTATTATGAATGTAGTAATGTGTTTTTATGTATTTATTACATGTACAGCACTTTGGCCCGACCAAACATCGCTTTTAAATGTGCTTTATAAATAAACTTTGATTTGATTTGATTTTGATTTGACCACTCTGCCTCTGTTTGTGTGCTGAGCACCATAGTGGACTGGAAAGTGCTGTATCAGCATTTACTGTTGACAGGTCTGTGCCTGCCACAGCTGCATGTGTTTAGTTAGATCTCTCACTACACATGAATATACAGCAACATGTTTTTATGTTCTGCTGACAGTAGCACAACACATTTTCTCAACATATGTTGAATCTTCCTAGAATTCATCCGATACTATATGCTTCTCCTCCCCACTGTCAGTGTCCGACTCTCCGTATGAGGAAAAGATTAACTGGAGGAGCACTGAGGGGACTTTCTGTTGACATTCATGCACGTCCATATCTTTACAAGTTGTGGGTTTTCAAGGGTTCGAGATGTTTTTCTTGCTAAAAGTGTTTATTTATTTATGCTTACAGTAGCACATATTTTTTACTTCCGCTCAGTTATTACAATAATTATTTATTTATATTATTATCAAGAGGTTCATTCTAATAGCATGTTTTTAATGCACGGGCTGACCCCGGGGCCTACAACGATCAGGGGATTTTGGTCATCTGTTAATGTTAATATTATATTATTCTCTGGCTCAGAGAGTGATAGGTTATCGTATCTCCATAGACTAATGAATAGGCCTACATTTGCCCTGTAGACAAAATTAGATTTTTACACATTTATATTGTAAGAATCCATTCAGGGGGCCAACAAAAGCAGGGCCTGATGGCAGGTTAAGGTGCTCCTGCTTGTAACCATAAACACACCCCAACACTTCTAGCCTGCATTATGCGAACGAAAAACCATCTCCACAATTTTAGCGCTAGCAAGTACCTCAGCCGAGGCCAGGGCTGTGTGCAAACCAACTCCCACAACTCCTAGAGGTAGCTACATTGTTTGTTTCAAACAAATCCTCAAGAAGTAATTTAATTAAAGGTGACCCTGGTCAGATTGTACCCAGTCTTCATCTGTTGCGAATATTCAACCATGCGCTGTGCCTGGTTCAGGAACCATTGGTATAGTGGTGAAAATGAATTTCATCCACTTGTTTTTCAAATCCTTTTCCTTTTGGTAGTCCATACAAAGAAGAAAACAACGTTTCGGTTGGCAAAGCAGAAAACAGCGTCTTCTCCACATGGTGTCCCAGGTATACAAACCTATCCTCCATTTGGGGCCAGCTCTGTCCTAGCTGTATTGGAGAGCTAGCCAATAGAAGCGCAAATGTTACATAGTGATGTCATTATGTTATGGAAGTAATCAAATGAGTCCAATGGAGGCGTTTCCTTGCAATGAAGGCAAGGAGGAGATTCATAATTTCTGAAAGATCACTTTCAGGCTACGTGCTTCTTCACCGATCGTCACATGGTTACAGTGCAGGCTTTTCAGATCAAACCACATTTGGTCAGCTACAATTAAATTACACACACACACACACACACACACACACACACACACACACACACACACACACACACACACACACACACACACACACACACACACACACACACACACACTCTCACACACCTACACCTACAGAGACACGTTGAGTACCTAATAAAGTTATTTTTATGAGGATCAGGTGACCGAGGCCCCTGATCTTGAGTGGAGGAGACACCAGGCCAATCGAAGGCCACCCAGATTTTATGTCCTGTCTGGATAATCACCCAGCAGCCAGACAGAGACCACGCTGCCGCTTTACAGCATCAAGATGAGATACAGGAAGCATTCTGAGCAGCAGATGATGACCAACCCCAGTTCTTCCTTTTCAGTTACAATGTGGCTTTAATCACACAGACACACCAACCGTTTATAGTTTGGATTTTTAACTCCATTCTTGTTTTTAAAGAAGAAAAATATAACATACCATTTTGTAAGTTTTAAAAGATGGCTTGAATCTGAAATGACTTTAAGGATGGAAAAGCCAAAAACACCCTAGATAGCCTCTGTGTAAACACTCATGTCATGCAGTAATCCAAATACAAAGGCGTTACCCTCTGAGAATGAGTGTTCAATGTATTTCAAACATAAAAGGGGAGAATTGTGTTAAGTACCACTAGAAAGAAGGATCGCAGGTTATCAATCATTAGCTTTAAATGCAAGGGAATATATCTATCCATCTATCTACCCATCCATCTATCTATCTATCTATCAATCTATCTATCTACCCATCCATCTATCTATCTAACTATCTATATATCTATCATAAACCCGCTTTTGCTTGTTTAAAACCTATACTTAAATAAGTCATGTCAGATGAAGAATTGTTTAATTGAATTTCTAACGTCATGGTCACGTTTACTTTTTTCCCTTAATATATTTGCAAGATATTCTAAAGTCATGTTTACCACGATGAGGTATTGAGTGTAGATTAAGGGGAAAACGTATTGAAACCATTTTAGCTGCCACAAAATAAGAATGAAAATAGAGTGAGTATTTGCTGAATGCACTGTACATAAACCAGCCTCTGTCCAGCCTTTACTGTTTACCCCCTGCAGCACCCCCCCCTGCCCCAAACTAGTTCCTTTGCATAGAAAAGCTCAGGGTGATTCTGCACGATTTTATGGCCACATTCCAGCCCATATATCTGCCACACAACTCATCAACTGCACTGCACTGCAGACACACACACACACACACACACACGTACGCACGCACACACACACACACACACACACACACACACACACACACACACACACACACACACACACACACACACACACACACACACACACACACACACACACACATACTTTAGATGTGTTCCCCCCCCCTTATGTGCCCAATCCCCACACGAAGGCAATAGGAGGGTTAATAACTTTAGAAGTCTTTACATTAATAATTACAATATTTATACACCTTTCTCACGGGAAAGATGAGCTGATATGTGTATGTTCTGCCAGGAAAGCTCACTGTACTGTACCAAGTGTACATGTTAAAGTTGTGTTGTTGTTGTTTTTTTCAGGTCATAAAGCAGCTGATGAAGAAGGAGCTGACGCTGGAGTTCTCCAGAGACAGGAAGTCCATGTCTGTCTTCTGTTCATCCAATAAACACATCAGGTCCGCCTCTGGAGCCAAGATGTTCGTCAAGGTGTGTTTCAAGAACTCCTATAAAACGTCTCTCACGTCTTCATATTCCCTGCAGTGTCTAATCGCCCCCCCACCCCCTCTGTCTGCAGGGAGCTCCAGAGAGCGTGCTGGAACGCTGTAACTTCATCCGGGTCGGTGCTTCCTGTCGTGTGCCTTTGAGCGCGGCGGTCCGAGAGCAGATCCTGTCCACTGTGCGGGAGTGGGGAGCAGGCAGAGATACGCTGCGTTGCCTCGCCATGGCAACCAGGGACACACCCCCTGACATCAAAGGCCTCAACGTGGAGAACTCCGCTACCTTTGCTGACTACGAGGTGATGTTGGTCATTTTTGTATAAATATATCGAACACTTAATGTACTGCCATGTATGTGCCGAACGGGAATTGTAAACTGGATAGTATTTTCAAGTTACTCTATCTAAACTAGCCCCCCCTCTCTTCTCTCTCCCCAGTCGGACCTGACCTTTGTGGGCTGTGTAGGCATGTTGGACCCCCCCAGGAAAGAGGTGCTCTCTGCGGTCCGAATGTGTCGGCAGGCTGGCATCAGGGTCATCATGATCACAGGTAACACACACAACCACACACACATCTAGATGTACTCTATATGTGCACAACAACTAGTAAACGTAACATTTTATAAACAGATAGACAGATACTTTATTCATCCCAAATTGGGAAATGATTTAGTCAGCAGCAGTGTCAAGCATTACACATGAGTTAAAAACATTTAAAAGATAGAATAAGATACAAATATATAATACAATTGCAATAGAAAATACATATATCACTAGAGTATCCATATAATACACAATATTAAGAGAATGCTGAATACATTTGAGTACTCTACAATGTACATTTTCACTTGGTATTTGAACATTGGACAATATACCATCTCACTAGGATTAAGCTTCATATTTACAATAACGAAAATGTATAGGCTCTAGCCAGCAGGGACCTGAAGAGCTAACAGAAAAGCCAAACATGTAAGCAGTGACCTTAGAACTTAAACAAAAGGGATCTGACATTACTCCATATGCTGTGATTATGATGTAATTTATGAGAATACAATAAGTATGTGCAATTGAAAGAATATGTTTCAATGGAAATGAATATGAGAGTATTACCCAAATGAGAAGATATGAAAGAGCGTTGACAAAATGATGACATTGTTCCTTGTACTTCATTCAAAATGAACCCAAACAAAGGTGAAGTTGCTTAACTAGCATCTTGTTAGAAAGCACCAGATAATCTGTTTATACAGAAAACTAAAACATCTGTATTTTGAATATGAGCACTGGAAAGCAATGAGTATTTAGTAATTGGCAGAAAACAATGAATACATAATGTATACAATACTTCCTTTAGTTTAGCTAAAAGGCTTCTTGCATCAAACGGATGAAGTGTTAACACGATTAGCTGATGATTCCTTTATTTCCAGGCGACAACAAAGGCACAGCCCTGTCTATCTGTCGGAGGGTGGGCATCATCACAGAACAGGAGGAGGAGCAGGAGGGCTTGGGGATCAATGGGGGCCTCACAGGGAGGGAGTTTGACGAGCTGCCCCCCCACCTGCAGCGCCAGGCCTGCAGGACGGTGCGCTGCTTCGCCCGGGTGGAGCCGGCACACAAGAGCCGGATAGTGGAGTACCTCCAGAGCCTCAATGAAATCACTGCCATGGTAAGAGCACAGCCTCATACTTGAGTCGGTGTTATAGAGTGGTGCAGGAATGAGTCATGTAACATGTGTTTGGTTAGATGCCTGAAATAAGGTCTGTGATTATTGGCTTTAGAGATTTTCATGTTTCTTAACATAAAATACGTCAGTAAATACATTGCATTGGTATTGCCTACATTTCATTGGATTAGATTAGATCTACTTTATCCCAATTTGGGAATTTGATTGACACTGCATCATGTTCATATAGCTGACGCTGTTATCCAAAGACAAGACAATGTTTAATTAACTTCCATTTTGCCTTCCACTACACTTTTATATCTTGTCCGTCTCCGTTTGATGCTGAAGCTGAGGCTTGAAGTAAATGCTAGTTTATAAAGACGACAGTCTTGATTACTCAGTTGGCTACAGCTGTGGGGCCACACCCTTCTAATCAGTGAGCACTGAGACTGTTGTTAAGGGCCAGAAATCAAACAAACTGGCACACTTGATACTTTAATCAGGGACATTTGAGTGGTCTTTCAGAAGTCCCACCAAAAGCTAGCCCTCAATTCCACCCTGGTCTGAAGCTTCTATGTGTCTAAGTGACTGAATGATTGTAACAAAATGTCATCACACAAACATAAGCTGCCTTTAGGGAAGACATGTGGCCGTGAAGTAGCTCGTTAATAGCCTAATAGCATTTGACTTCTGGATTGCATTTTCACTTCAAAAATCACAACATTTGTGTTAATATATGTCGGTTATCCTGCTGAACAAAAGGTGTAAGTACCATAAATGTGTGTTTGCCAAAGATCTTATTTGCTGCAATATTCAGACAGGTGACGGTGTGAACGACGCCCCTGCTCTGAAGAAGGCGGAGATCGGCATCGCTATGGGCAGCGGCACAGCGGTGGCTAAATCCGCCTCTGAGATGATTCTGGCTGATGACAACTTCTCCACCATCGTGGCTGCAGTGGAGGAGGGCAGAGCCATTTACAATAACATGAAGCAGTTCATCAGATACCTGATATCATCCAACATAGGAGAGGTGGTTTGGTGAGTAACAGAGCTGATAGAAGACGAAGGTGTACTAACTTTGGAAATGACATAGTTTTGTCATTGTAACTTCTTCTTATCTGTCTTTCCTCTCTCCTCAGTATTTTCCTGACAGCAGCACTGGGCATGCCTGAAGCACTGATCCCAGTCCAGCTGCTATGGGTCAACCTTGTCACTGACGGTTTCCCAGCAACGGCTCTGGGCTTCAACCCTCCAGACCTAGACATCATGTCCCGTCCCCCCAGAACCTCCAAAGAGCCTCTGATCTCCAGCTGGTTGTTCTGTCGCTACCTCATCATCGGATGTGAGTCATGAGCCAAGGACAGAAAATAAGATCCTCAGTTTCTACTACATACAAAATAAATGTCCTGTTACCCACCCCCTCTCTGTGCAGGTTATGTGGGAGCTGCTACTGTGGGGGCTGCTGCCTGGTGGTTCATGGCAGCCCACGACGGACCAAAAGTGTCCTTCTATCAACTGGTAAACACGTCACTATATCCCCATCACTCATTTTCTGTCATGCTTCTGTAGTAGAATTGATTTCTTGTAGAGCTAACACAAAAGGGTGAGCAATTGAAATCTTAAAGTGTGATCATTAACATGGTATTACATGTTATTCAAATGTTAACATGTTGCCTAAAATAGTAGTTAGAAAATCACTGCATCACATTAGACAGACAAAATGATTATATGTGACCTTAAAAACTTTAGGGCAACTTATTGATAAACTGTAGGATATATAATGCAATAGATATAAACAATTGAAAAGTATTGGTACATGGTCAAATGTGTTTAAAATAATAATAATAATTTAAAAAAAGGCATAGTATGGTATGTCGTAAAAAATTACTGTTTCCTCATCAGTCCCACTACCTGCAGTGCAGTGAAGGCCACGCTGAGTTTGCTGGTGTGCAGTGTTCAATCTTTGAGTCTCCTTATCCCATGACGATGGCTCTGTCTGTCCTGGTTACCATAGAGATGTGCAACGCCTTGAACAGGTAAAATAAAACAAATACATCTGCACACACAAGCACATTTCCTACAGTGTTGTTCTGTTTAAATATTAGGTTCAACTTAAAGGTCACCTATTATGCAAAATGCACTTTTTTTGATACATAAATATGTGTCCCCGATGTGTAAGGACACTCACAAAGTGTCTGAAAATACAACCCTCTCTCTTGTCCTCCTTACCCACATCTCTAAAAAACGGGGGTACAACGGAGCTGATCCAGCTTTGCTGCGGTCATGAAGACATTACTAAACTGTGGGCCGGCTTTACATTGAACTCCTGGCNCATAATGTATTCTTTCTGTGGACATGCTTGTGTAAGTGAGATGGATAGATAGATAGATAGATATATGGATAGGTAGGTAGGTAGGTAGGTAGGTAGATAGATAGATAGATAGATAGATGGATGGATAAATATAGATAAATAGATAGATAGATAGATGGATGGATGGATAGATATAGGTAGATAGATAGATAGATAGATAGATGGATGGATAAATATAGATAAATAGATAGATAGATAGATGGATGGATGGATAGATAGATAGATATATGGATAGGTAGGTAGGTAGGTAGGTAGGTAGGATAGATGGATAGATAGATAGATAGATGGATGGATAGATAGATGGATGGATAGATAGATAGATAGATATATGGATAGGTAGGTAGGTAGGTAGGTAGATAGATAGATAGACAGATAGATAGATAGATAGATAGATGGATGGATGGATAGATATATGGATAGGTAGGTAGGTAGGTAGGTAGGTAGGTAGGTAGGTAGGTAGGTAGGTAAGTAGGATAGATGGATAGATGGATGGATAGATATAGATATAGAGATATAGAGAAATTATTTCGTCACAGAAGCAGAAGTGTGTTCAGACATTAAAATACAATACTTCAAATACTTTAAAAAGTGGAAAAGAGAACGAACAATTAAAAATAAAATGAAAAATATTATTAAAAATATTTAAAAAACAATATAAAATGTTCTGGTTAATTAAAATAAAAGTCTAAAATCCCTAAAAGATCCAAAATACTGCAGGTACCCACCACAGTTCTCCTCATCAGTGCTGTCCCCACAGTCGTCAAACCCGTCACACTCCCAGAACTTGGGTTTGCAGCGGCCGTTTTTACACTGCATCTGAACAGTCTCACACTCTGAAAGAAAAACAAGCCATGTGTTAGTGTGTCTTTCAATACTTTCTAACTTCCTGTTTGTGGCTCTCAGCTTGGAGCCCATTGGTTACTACTTCAGTAGTAAAATTGCAAAAATGTTGGTAATTACCAAATTGGCATTATATTATGGTGGACGCAAGTAAATGTGGGATTGATGCAAGGAGACCTTAAAATAGTTTAAGTATTGCAAATCAAAACATCAAGCGTAGGCCCAGATCGTTAGTTGTGTTACGTCGTAGAGGGATGTATAGGGTTAGAGAAGTTATTTATTAGTGTTAATCCTCCAAACCTGAGGTAAAGCAACATTTAAGGGGCTTTAGGGAATGTAGAGGGACACAATTAACAACTTAGAAGCATAACCAATAGTGGAACAAGCTAGCAACACTTCAAGAAATAAAGAGCAACACGCATCCTCTTTGTAGAGTCCATGCTGTTTCAACATTACGACCTGAAGGTCATGAAAACACAAGTCAGAAGAAGGACTTGGGACTAGGGTTGCAAAGGGGCGGAAAGTTTCAGGAAAGTTTCCATGGGAAGTTAAGCTGGGGAATTTTATAAATATTCGATGCAAAATTAAACAAAAAAACATGACATTTCAACAGATTTTTTTATTTTTTTTAAGTAGAACAGAACAAGTTTTAATTATTTTATTGAACAATTATTTGTTTCATTGAAGAACGAAAACAGGAATGCTGAGTTAAATATTACTCATCCCCCCCAACCCCACTCATTAAAAAATGAACAATCATCCAAAAATCCCCACAAAGTCCCATTCAAACTGTTAAATGAAAAGAGCCCTTCTCCCTCCAAAAGGTTCCAGAAAACAAAAGCAAATCTTCCTTCAAGCGATCCTCTGCATATTTGCTAAACCCTTTCAGTCAATGGGCTCTTCCTGGGCCTCATCAACATCCAACAACATGTCCACTTCCTCAACATCACACTCTGAGTCTTCCTCTGCAGTGTCACTGTCCAGCCTTGTTGAGGATGGCTCTGTGTCCGGCTCAGAGAGCCTTAGGTTTGCCCGAATGCCAACCAGTTTTTCCACTCTCACATTTGTGAGCCTGTTGCGAAACCTTTGTGTGGTCTCAATAGCCATGCAGTAAGCAGTGTGCTATGGCATGGATATTCAAGTGTACTTGAATGGCATCTGTTTGTTTTAGTCAAGATTATGCTAAAATATACTTTCCCCAACTATATTTAAGTTCCCTATGAAGAGCCAACCTTCAATTTAGAACATTCCCAGTTTATTCCCATAAATTCCCGTTTATTCCCATGGAAAGTTTCCATCTTTGAAAATTCCCGGAATTTTGCAACCCTAATATTTATGTATGTTGTTTTGAAATCTAGTGTATACAGCATTTTCCTACACATTTATTCACTGGGGGTTCTAACCTGCAAGTTGCTCTTTAAGAATGTATTCTTAACTAATATCATGACATGCCAATCCCTCTTTGACAGATGACACACTTTTCTTTACACTCGCATAAATGCGTCATCCAAAACCCAAATGTAAACATCATTAAAATATGTGCGTTTTCACAAACTAACCCACGATTCGCCCAGACAGAGACCTTCCCAAATGACGTGCTATGCATCCTGACATCTCTTAGAAGAAGAATTTGTTCCACATTTTTGAAAAGAAATCAATTTAATTGATAACATCCCTTTTTAGTTTCAGACATCTATCTGCCCAAGGTGCACAAGCTGTAAATCCTATAATGTTGTTACTTTAAAGCTTAATGTTGAATGTCAAATCTTGTGTGTTTCTTTTGGTGCACATTTACAGTACTTTATAACTTGATCTATCTGTGTTATAGCACCTGGCTGTAATTACTCCAGCCTGAGTATGGCTTTTTGAGTTGGTGTCACTCTGGTGTCATCTGTCCCCTCTGGGCTCAGTGTCACCAGCGTTTTCAGGCAGGGTTACAGCCGCATTTCTAGCGACAGCCCATTGTCAAACCCTGAGGATGGCTCAACTCAAGTTCATATTTTGGACATAGCTGTCATGGATATAAGCACAAGAGAAGACAGCCCCCTCTGAGACTGCATTATCATAATTCTGTGGAGCTCTGCTAAATCCTCATGTCTACTTGCATGGCCCTGTAGCACTTTCCCTTTTTTCTATTTTGTTTTCTCCCCTGCATTCGCTTCATGGGAGGTACGGAAGTTTTGTAATGCTGTAATTGTAGCTGCATAAGCACACTTTCAAAGTTCTGCCCAGAGTTTTCTCCAACATTTTCAGGGATCATATGATCCGCTGAGGAAAATGTCTTGTTGGCTGCAGGCGTCATGTACAATAGTGCTTTTGCTAAGCTTTAAAGGTTCATAATGGCACTGCCAGAGTAGCACTACTGCTTGTCACCACAGGGGGGCATAATTGAAGTAATGGAGCCAATCTCTCCCTGCTTTGGTCTTGTGCGAAAGTTGTGTGTGATGCAAGCTCTGTTTTTGTAATTATGCACACTCATACAGGTTAAAGGTAATACTATAGATGCACCTCATTCGCGCCCCCCCCCTCACGTCTCTTTTAGAGGTCAGTATCATGCAGTGTTGTTTTCATATCTGCTTGCAATATTACAGCCGAGGAAAGATGAGAAATCCTTGAGCCTCCCGACTCCCCAAGGACGGAAGGCTGGTTTTAATAATTGCTGTTCATTAAGTGCTCTTAGTGAGCAAGCGCTCTGAAGCAATACTGTGCAGCCTGTTACACCTACTCACTGGTGAGGAAGCAGCAGGGAAGAGGAAATGAATGCAAAATAAGTTAAGGCAGGATAATAGCATCATGTTACTGTATTTTCATTTGAATGTCAATACCGTACGTGCAAATATAAATCCTCAGTGCTTCATTTTGCCTAAGAAATGCACAGGGTACTTTGAAACTGCAGAATCAGACAAAGATCTGCACGCTGTATTAAAAACTCCACGCTTTTTTAATTGTGCAACATTTTTGATCTAACAAGGATCTCTTTCAGGCCCTGTTGAAGGACTGAGGATTTCACAATGCCTGAAAATACAGTGCTCTGATTCATGCCTAACGGCCCGTCCACACACAGGCATGAAAAAAATCTTGATGCTGGGCGTGTCTGAAGCTTGGCGATTTCACGCGCCCAAGGCGACCAACATCCAATCAGGAATCTCCCAGGAATCTCCCGCCCGCCCCCGGCATACAAAGCCTGTCCATTCAATTTTAAAACGAAGTAAACTGGATATAAACTCCCCAAACAGGTGAAAACCTACCAGTTTCACCAACTGTCTCTGCCACCTCCCTCCATGCCTGGTTCCTCCGGTTTAGGTCCCAGTAGGTGAACAGAGAGCAGTCGTAAAGGACCGGGACATTTCCTACAGCGATGATTAATTTATCCTCCATTTTAATATGGAAAAGACCGTAGCGGTATCTGCATACAGTACACGCGGTTTGATTGGCTAGCGCTTGCACTGGCGGGATTTGCATAAACGGGATTTGATTGGCTGATGCCAGCTTCGCAAGCATTGGGAGCATCAAAAGTTGAACATTGCTCAACTTTTGATGCTCACGAGCTTGCAAAGCCACGCTCCGCTCCCCACGATGCAGTTCGGCGAAGATTAAAAATCTTCTACGTCACCCCATTCAAGTGAATGGGCGAAGCTTTGAAAGATTTTTTTCATGCCTGTGTGTGGACGGGCCGTAAGTTTGATTTTTCCTCCAGCACCTGTAAAATGTTTTCAACGTTTTTGTTAAACTTTTCAAACTGGAGCCACGTCATTTGGCTTCACTCGAAGGTTATTGAGTTAGAAGTTGAGTCAAGTTAAGCTGTATGCGTGAGCTCCTCTGGGGTCTTACATCCAAGTCCGTTAGCGTGAGTATTGTATCAACTTAGAAGTAGATCCCAAACACCTCCTGTGGCACCGCGGCAGTAAAGACGGAGTGAAAGGGACAAGGAGGCAGCATGACATGGTGGGTGGTGGAGAGTAAAGGTTGACATGCACATACACACAGGCTGCTTCACCTCTAACATCCAACCCTCCCTCACTGTACTTCCATCCTGTCTGAGAAATGTGTCAGTCCTGCTGGTCTCACCGCGCGGCCACTGAAGGAAAGGAAGTGAGATGGAAAGCAACAGAGCATGTGGCGTGTCACCAAGGAGGGTCAGTTTGATCTATGAAGCGAGGAGGGAGTACCGAGTGGAATGAGGAAAAGAGTTGAGCGAGCATCGCGAGGGGTAGTCTGGGACTCTGCTCACACATTTGTCTGCTGGAGCTAAATATAAACGTATGGAGGTAGAGCTACAGAGAGGTCATCCAAAGACATAGATGGGAGTTTTTCTGCTGCCCGGCTTCATGCCCCAGCACCTCTCGTCTCGTGCTTTATGTTCCCTGTTTTAAGAGGCAGATTGTTGTAGGTAGTGAGCTGAAGGTGAGATGTTTCCCTGTCTTTCATCAGATCTCTCTTATGAGATGAGCACCAAAGCCCTTTAGCCCTCCCTCCTTTTCCTGTTTCTTTTTGTTCTACCTCTCCTACTCACTTTCTATTCCACTCCCACTTGCTTTTCGGCCTGCCTGCTATTTCTCCCTTCCTCTTTTCTGCTCAGGGGAGGTGAGTAATATATATTTTTTTTCTGGGTGAGGAAAAAAGGGTGCTGAGGCAAGAAACTCAGCTTGAGTTAAAAGCTCTAATTATAGCCGGTGCATCCATCTCTCCATCCATCCTTACATCCAGCCATCCGTCCATCCAGGGAGCAGCAGTGTAGCCTCTGTGATCGCAGCGTTGCCGTGGCGATGGCAGAGTTGCAGGCGGCCAGCTAATGTACTACTTATGTTTGTGTTCTCTTACCAGAAAAAGGCAGAAGAGGCTCACAGGGTACTGGAGGGACTGGGACCCAGGGTAGAACTGGTGAGTGGAGACCGGAGATTTAATTTTGTTTGTATTTATCTTTCTTCCTGCCCTCATGTTTTTGCTATTTGACACTTGAGAACATATTGAAGGTCGGGCTAGAGAGATAGGAGGGCAAGGATGTTTTGTAGAAACCAGGAATAAGTTCTTAAATGCAAGGCTTTGGGGAAGGGGTATAAAGTAAATTAATATGATTACAGTACTTAAGCAATGGAACAAAATTACTACGAGTGCTCTGTTAAATGTTGCTTTGACCGTAACCCACAGAGAACATAAAAGTAACCCTGATGACCGCTTTTTCATTAACTAACAAAATTGAGACTATTACTCTAAAAACAAATTTCCAAACTACTTGTTTGTACTACTTGGTTTTAATCATCCACTTGCTCGCACATACTATATTGCTTGTTACTTGTTACTATATCTGTCCATCCATCCTAATCTCAAACACACAAACATTGGGTTTTCATCAGATTGTTCTCTGAAACTAATTACTGTTTGAGAGCAAGCAAGATGCTACACAAAAACAGGCTCTGTATCCTGGAGGACATTCATTTTGAGTATTCTAATTGAATTTAATTTGAAAGGGTTATTAAGCTTCAGGCAGACACAACTTTGAGTCTCTCAAGACATTTGTGAAGCATTTTTTGCAAACATTCATATTCTTGTGCAAGGTCAGAATCATGTTGCAGAGGATGAATGCCATCATTTTACCGTCTGTTCATTTATTATCTGGTAACACAACTGAAATTGGCTGATGGTCTGATCTGTTTTCTTCTTTCTTGTGTTGCAGCCTCTGTACAATCAGCCTTCTGATACCAAGCAGTACCATGAGAACATCAAAATGTAAGTCTGTCAGTGCAAATGCCTACACACATGAAGAAATATATATACATATAATATATCCAGTGATTAGGGCTGTTGTGTACGTGTCATTAAGTTCAGTAAGCAACATCCTCTCGGTACGCCGTGTGACCCAAACAACTGTTTACGTCGACTATTTGCATACAAGGAACAGATACTCAGGAGTGCAACTTTTAGCAGCGCTCCAGTTATTGTCAGCCATGGCATGCTTGTTACTTTACCCCCGTTAGCCCGTTGATCGTGCCCGAAGGACACCGTTTTGTGTCAAACCGTTTGCCCGCCGTGCACAGGCAGCTTCCCACTGCCGTCCTGATGCTCTTGAAAATTAGCAGATTCACGTTATATTCACTTAACAACTTTAATTTCCTTGGTAATGAGACAGGCCCTGTACCACACGAGAGCTATTATTGGTTGTAATTAATTACATTAATCAAACTCTGAACCCATCCAAAACCAATCCTTGCATTTATACATTGGCTGCAAACTAAAAAACTACTATTGGTTCTCTGTAGCGGTTGTATAATGCTTCTGCGAGAGAGACTTGCCACTTTTTTTCCCCCCCTTGGCAGACTGCAAAGAATGGCATTTCAGAAATGTGTCATTATGTAAACTTTGGACTGACTGGAATCAAAGTGCATACTGGGGCATCTACTGTGTTAAATTCACTGTGAAACGATAATGCAAAAAACCTTATGGAAAAGGACGTGCACTGTTTTTAAGCCTTTAAAAAAAAAAAATCTGATTATGTATTTTTGCCAAAAACAATGCAGCAGATCATTCCTAGTGAAAGACAAACAAACATAGCGAACATATCTTTTGCATCTGAAAATTGACTTAGATGGCTACACATTTTTGATAAAATGTTTTTGATATTATGACATTAAATATTGAAAACTGTATGCCTTTCAATTACAGCATATATATAAAGTCAGAAGAGTACAACACTGCGTGGCTCTGCCATGTCTCTCAATGAGGTTCTGTCTTTTTTTAACAAGCATAATTCACTGAGGCACATCAAAGGGCTGAACGGGGGTTATAATATCTCGTCTCCACCGTCGGCACTGTGGTTTTGGCACAGCAGCATACCACAAGATGTGTCTGACCTCTTAGCCACACACTGCTCTGTCGTCACTGCGTTTGATCCCTGCACCGTTTGATCAGTATTATTGCCTCAAAGCAATTAACTGGAAACTCTCCTCTCTGCCTGTGTGTGTTTGTGTGTTATTAAATACCACTGAGTCGCTTTGAGCCAGCATAATTGACTTCTTTGTTTCGCACACCGTTTGGAAAACCTTGGCACTCATCCCTGCTGGGATAGATGAGCAACAATTTCTCCGCTGGGCTCTCAGCATCTCCTGCACGCACCCCCCTCTGACACTCAGCTGTTAATAAATCATTACAGTGTATACATATCATTTGCATATGCTATCAAGAAAAACTATACAGATTGTTTTTTGATGTGCCACTGGGGAACATCTGTCACTGGTCCATGTATTAATCTTCCAGGCATATTATAGCAAATTACAGTGTTCTCTGATATCTCAGAAGGGGCGTGGGCTTAGAGCAGGACAAAGCAAACCTTTTCGTAGAGTTCAGGGTTACTAATCTTTCCCTTTGCCATCTGGTGTCTAGAGCACAATGCCATCTTTGTCTGAAAGGCTTAATCCATCAGCCTGGTTTTTGCCATACTAAGTTTATTCTCACCCATAATATGCCAAAGTAAGAGTTGACATCCACAGTACATAGCTGGATCTGGCAGTATTTATCTTTTCTGCTGCAATGGGTTGACTCAATGTGTGTGTGTGTGTGTTTTTTTGTGTGTGTGTGTTTATGTAGGTTGGAGGTTAGGAAGCTTTACATTGAGTTGGGGTTTGTTATTGCAGATAACATGTTTGGGAAATGGAGAATGGGTCATCCTGTGTGTTTATCCCTCTACACCAGGAGTGCCCAAACTTTTCCCCCTGGAGAGCCAAATCTGAAACGTAATGGTGGGCCACAGGCCAGAAGCAAAAACCCATTGTATTCTCCTGTATTATAAGATGAAAATGATACTAGAATAATTAATAGTAAGCGGTCCTGCATATTTAAAAACCCTTTCTAGGTCACAGAAAATAGAAATATGTTTTTAATAAACAAACATTTGAGTTAGAAACATGTGGCAGGCCAAGTTAAACTTACTTTGGCACCCCTAGGCTCTAGATCCTGAATCTTACCATGCTATCTTTAAAAATGTTTACAACACTATTATACCATCTGAAACCCACTTTTTCCCGTCCTTCGCCTGTGACCCGAAGGACCCAGCAGCTCAGCTGAAGTGACTAATGTTGAATACGATTACATGAATCAGTGGGGAACGTGACCTTACAACTGACAGATTAAGTGTCAGGGATAAAATTCTGTCTTGCCGCACAGAAAGAGACAAACTGAGTCGCTGCCTGAGGAGATTACTGGCCCTGACCTTTATTTGAGGCAATGTGCTGGCTGTTCCCTGACCAGACAAGTTTTATACGTTTGGCTCACCTCGCTGTCCTTTCCACCCAGAAGCAAGTTTGGGTTTATCGAGCGGTGACATACAAGGACAGACATTGTTTTTGTTTGTGTGAGCGTGTGTGTGTGTGTGGGGTTTTTGTTTGTTTATTGGGCATAACATTGCGGCGGAGAAAACACAGAGGGTAGAAAAAAGTGTCACAGAGAATGTTGAGAACATCATATACTTACTACTGTTATTGATGGTTTTTATGAATGTCCTCACCTGGTTCTTTTCCTTTCCATCCATCCACCCCTCTCTTTTTCTCCATGCCTCTTTTCAACCCTCTTAGAAACCAGGCGATGAGAAAGAAGCTCATCTTGTACTTCAAGAGGAGAAATCATGCTCGTAAGCAGTGGGTAAGTAAAGAACTCAACTTGTTTGACTCACTGTTGGGACTTGGCCTATGACGGATGACTAGTGTGAAACTGGGCCAAATGCTCCTTGAAGTGAGTGTCCATTTTAAGAAAAAACAAAGAGGATGTCAGTCCTCTCACTGTGCCCAGGGGAAGCCATTGCTTTTGAAAAACAAAATAAATTCTCTCACACGGTCACCAGAAGAAAAACAAACCCGACTCAAATCTGTTGCATTCCCTGCCAGCCACTTATAATGAGCATTGTACAGCATTAGCATGCGCTCTTGCCTGCCAGTGATCGAGGGAGACTGCGCCAGAGAGCATGACTATAAATAAAGCAGAGATCAATGGGGTGATGCTGGTCAGGCGTCTTAAAAATTAACTGCTCTGAAAGAAAATAGTTAGTGCAAATCAAATGTGCAGCTATCCACAAGTAGGAAATTGTTTTCCAACCACCTCCAACCCATTAATAACTGTTTTGCAGTTCTACAGTTATTATGTTTTTCTAGTTTATACGAGGACATAAAGGACAGTTAAAATGCAGCACCTGTATCAAAGCCTGAGTTTCCAGTCTTCTCTTGTGTGGGGGAGGGAGCTCCTCATGGGCAGAGTCCCCTTGTGCTTTATGAGCCCTCTGAGGGTCGTGTCTCCTCCGGGTTTAATGGTCTGCTTTATAGCCAGCCGACGAGGAAGCTGGGAAAACGTTGGTCTGCTGTCTGCAAGCGCCGTGGCTCAATGCCAGACTCCCCAAAACACAAAGCCCACTCTGAATTTGTAGAGCTTCCCGGTGTGTCACCAAAAAAGGAGATCAGTGAAAAATAATGATTGAAAGATATCAGATTATCTAAAATCTCACTATATGCTTTGGGGGATATCTTGCTTTATCAGTAACTGTTAAACACTCTTTTATTGTAATTCATTTGATGTAATGGTGCATTCATTTAATGTTTTAAGATCAAAGGGAAGACAGAGGAAAATAGTTTTGATGTTTAAGCTGATCTGCAACGGTCTGATATCTTCTTTCTTTGGTGCTTTAGGAACAGAAATTTTGCCAGCGCTATGACCAGCTGATGGAAGCCTGGGAGAAGAAGGTGGATCGCATCGAAAGCAACCCGCGGCGCCGAGCCAAGGAGGGCAAGGTGCGCGAGTACTACGAGAAACAGTTCCCAGAGATCCGCAAGCAGAGAGAGCTACAGGAGCGCATGCAGAGGTAATGTTATACGATTACTTTATTCAAAACATAATGTACACTCACTGCCAAACCAAGGAAACATAAATAAATAGCTCTACACTGCAGGGCTCAAATGTTCACTTTTGTATCGCACGGTTTGAGCACAACTGCTCTTCATCAGTTATTTGGAGCCCTGCAGTGTTCACGCCATTTCTTTGTTTTTCATTACATCACCACTTTCACAACGTTCGACATGTGATGGTTCAACTGTGGGAAATACATTTCATTTCTGGACATGACTTAAGTACTCTGATTTGGTGGCTAGATACTGCTCTCATTATAAACACTTGCTTGTGGGTAGTTTTGAGTGACACAGCTTCTGTGTTTTTCCTTCTGCAGCCGCGTTGGGCAGAGAGGAGGTGGGCTGGCCTCGTCTGCAGCTCGCAGTGAGCATGAGGTCTCCGAGATCATCGATGGAATATCAGAGCATGAGGTTAGCTCTTCTGTTAAAGAGGGTTGTCCCCCTCCACTTCCTCTTTCAAAACACTTACGGTGTTTTCACACTCTGAAGTTCACGTTTCTATGGTGGCCAGAAATCTGGTTGTGTGGTTGTGTTTAGTGACACAATTAACTGCTCGCAATTCTACTAGGAATTATTTATATACTGTTAATTTACATATATGTATATTTAAATGTAATTGAAGGAGCCAGTTTTTTGTAATTGAGGCAAAGACACTATGATTAATTGTATATTTAACTGTAAAGCATGACAATTAGTTGAAATCAAGTAGGCCCACATTAAGTTTATCTTCAACATACAAAAACAAATACACATTACCACTATTTATGAATTATCTATTTTCACTTGCCGTACAATGTAATAAAAAACAGCATCACAAAGAAATAGCCTTCAGAAATGTTACTCGAGCCTTCTGAAATAAATGCAACATGGTTTTGTTTCAGGGGCATAGGCCACTTGATATTGGCATACACTGTAATACAACTGTTAGACAGATGCTAAAGTATGTCAATGGAATATTTCTGGTAGGTAGAAAAGAAGCTCCAACCAAAGCTCAAAACTAGCTCTTTAAGGCCACCGCAGCCCAGAGGCAAGCGCAGCTGCTTTCAATTGAAATGCTGCCAAAACTTTGATATTTTGTGGTCTTTTTTTTACTGCCCGTCTCTACTTTTTTAGATTCTTCCCTCATTTCTCTTTCCTCCTTTTACAACATGCATACTCCACACATGGTGTCAGCTGTTGATGCAACAGTAATAATGGTCCCCGTTCTTGTCAACTGTATAATAATTGTATGATAATTCTCAAACAACATTTAGCTGCTCTAAAAAAGTATCAAGATCAATAGTGTCAATCTTGTCTAAGACGGCAATTTCAGGTACAGTTTGAGCTCCCTGGCAAATGATATTAATAAAATGGGCTTGACTTGATACAAACATACCAGCCAAATTAATTGAATGTGTTATTTACATTTCAAAAGCTCTTTAAGTTCTCACATTTTATGTCCAGTTAAAATATAATACAATATTTTAGCCAGATTCCTCTTAAAGGCGTAACATTATTTTACTAAAGCTATACAGTGTATAGTTATCTCTTCTTTGCATAAAGACACTGAGTGACCCCACCTATTGAAAGTCTTTCTTATCATAGATTTTGAAAGTCTACTCAGAAGTCAAATGTTGAATGTGTCTCATACAATGTCTGAAACCGATCTCTGTGTTATGCATAAGTGGTGGAGGACTGTGCTCTGAGCTCACAGTGCCGCAAGTCACACATTACACTGGTTCCTCTCATGTCAGCCTGCCATTAGGCTAAGGGGTGTGTCCAATTGGGTTCTCTTGTCTCATCTCGAGAAACGCTTTTATACCTTCAAAACAACTCGAGATAGCACAGCACCTTTTCTTTACCTCCATGTTCCTCCTGTACTTAGACATTATCTTATTGTAAACGAAAAAAACGACACATCTGACCTGGAAAATGCCATTAGCTGCTGAGCCAACACGACACCCTAAACTTCCTCTCCTGTCCTCTGAAAACTTGAAGAAAGGGCACGTTTCCCATAGTGCACGTGAATATAAGCACCATGTTGTCAGTCAGTTTCCCTCTGGAGACCAATCCACTCACTTCAGCATTTGTGTGTATGTCAGAACACAGAGAAGCAGATGCGGCAGCTGGCGGTCATCCCCCCCATGCTGTTTGATGCCGAGCAGCAGCGCATCAAGTTCATCAACATGAACGGATTGATGGATGACCCCATGAAGGTGTACAAGGACCGGCAGGTTATGAACATGTGGAGCGAGCAGGAGAAGGACACTTTCAGAGAGAAGTAAGCACAGACCTTCATTCCCTAGTTGGTCAAATATGCGCCTGAAATAGGGTCTGACAGTACTTTTGGGGCATTTGGCATTAAGAATAAAATGTAAGAACATTTTCAGGCTTTTCAAATCCAATATAATCTCTTGGCTCATTTTTCATTTTGCTGACTAAGTGCTCAGGATCGTATTTTTACAACAAGATTAAGTGTGTCTTGTACTGCACGCGAAATATGTGTGACTGATAAAGGTAAAAGTCAGTAAGTTGTTGGTGAGGAACTCAATCATCACCTTTCGTAAAAATCGAACGGAGGCGTTGCAAACTGCCAAATCGCAGCAAACCCACACAGTGAAAGCAGTGATTTTAAAGTTCACCCACATGCAAAACAAAGAGCTTCCATTTCTTCTTTCTATCAAATTTGATCCAAAACATACAATAATACATGTAATCACTAGTGATTGAATATCTTATTCTATGACATTTTTATGTATTAAGTATTACATCCGTTGTAGAGGTAGAGTTCAGCTGAGATCAATATTTTTGTTTTGGAGGTTTTTTTTCTACGTCAGTGTGTACGTCACCTCCTCTGTTATTCTCTGTGTGTTATTCCCTTATTTTAGAGTGCTTCTGCCAATGATTTTGAATCATTTCATTAGCAGGTTGCGTCAGTGTCTTTGTTATGTTCCCGCAGGTTCATCCAGCATCCCAAAAACTTTGGTCTGATTGCGTCTTTTCTGGAGAGAAAGGTATTTGTTCATTTTATTTTTGTCAGTTTTTTCTAAGTGTTCCAGTCCTCTCAGGTTATGACTGAAAAACATTTGTTTTCATGTTTCAGACGGTGGCGGAGTGTGTGCTCTTTTACTACCTGACCAAAAAGAATGAGAACTATAAGAACATAGTGCGGAGGAACTACAGACGCCGAGGAAGAAGCCAGGTATTCTTCCCTTTCAAACTTATACTGAACAACCAGATTTGTTTTATTTAAAAGATATTTCGATTTTTCAGTCGGTCTCCTTTTTTCTATTGCTAGGCAACAAAGAAGTCAGCTGGAGTCACTTAGCTAACCAATACCATTTGCTAACTGGCGAAAACATTTGTTTTCCATTCAGTCATTACACTCCAGGTCTAATGTTATTCTCTGTTGTCCAACACATTTGGCAGGAGCAACCACTACTCACTTTTCCCATATTGTTCTTGTATACAAAGGATGTAACTTAAGAAAGACTTGCCTGTGATTGTATCCAGTTGGTCAGCACAGATACGTTTTTCTATTTAGAGTTGACCATGTTTTCCCAGAGCATGAAACAGAGTTGAACTTCAGGTATCTGCCACGCAAAAACAACATGCAAACAGAATTTAACTCTTTGAAAGCTACTGAAACTGGATATGGTCGTGCTGCAAATCTGTCCTGTGTGCACTTAATCTCACTAGTCTTTACAGAACAGAGGAGGTCTCTAAACCCCAAATGTCACATAGTTGTGCTGATCAAATGCCACCCTTTGCTGAACATCATCATGTCAGCAGTATTTCCACACATTCAGATCGTTTCTATGGCTAATGAGCTCCCTGATATTACTTAGTGTCACATGCTAGCAGTTAAACTTCATGGTGGTGGGCTCTAAGAAAGAAGTGCATTAATTAACTGGTGACCTTTTCCTGTGGGTACATGGATGGTGTCTTCTCAGCTTTCCTAAAGAAACCTCGCTCATTACCCAGCGGTTTGCTCCACATCTCTTGAATAGCAGCTAGCGCTAATAGCTGGCAGTCACACAGAGAGGTAGCTGCAGAGGGACAGAATGTGCCGTGCTATATGTCAGAGTGAGATGTGTGCAGCTGCTAATAAAGATTATGTTTGGGTAGTGGAGAGACAAAGGGGATAAGTGAGAGCTTAATGCAAATGTTAATGTTTCTAGCCTACTTAGTTTTTCCCCCACAGTGCTGTAGTGGAGTTGATGCTCAGTTATCTTCTTTATAATTTCTGTACCAACAGGCAGCAACTGCAAACACATCAAATAGAGTAGAAGCTCTGATGAGTTTAAGTCTGTGTGCTTGGTGAAAATGTGCAGTGTTTCTTTGCTCACATTGCATGCCTGTACTAATCTGAACTCTAACCTTAAAAGCCTAGACAGACAGGAAGTTGGTGAGGAAGTGGTTCTGGGTGCTTAAAGAGCGTATCTTCTGAACTTTCGTATCTTGTTTTGTTTTGTCGATGCAGAAAATGAATAGAATTGTTATTAATCATTATTTACATTTCAGTTGAATCAAGTGTATCAAATTCGTTGAAATGTCAAGCAAGTCTGTGAAACAAAAAAAAGGAGTCCCTGTCAATGTCCTTTTTTAAACGTTTGATGATTTTGCTAATGCAATAGTGCGGTTTGTTGTTATCTCACCAGAAAAGCTGCCAGACATCACAGCCTCTGCAGCTGTGTGTTTTTAAAAGCACATTTATCTGAATAATGTTTGCGGTATAAGACCTGCCACAGGAAGTGCATTCTCACTCAGAAAAAATGAATGTGGGCTTATGAAATGAAACTGTCACTTTCTATAATAACAACAGTTACATAGAACAAAAAGGGATGCAAGTGATACTGCCATTTTTCAAGTAAATGCGTCCTAACTTTAAAGTGCATGTGTCAGGAGAGGTCAGGGGGTTTGCTGGTAAGTGTGTGTGTGTGTGTGTCCAGTCACCTGGGATTACCTATGTAACTGAGTTCCTCGTTGTTTCCTTCTCCCTCGACGCAGCACGGCCAGCAGCAGCAGCAGCAGCAGCAACAACAGCAGCAGCAGCAACAACAGCAACAAGTGCAGCGGGGCATCCAGGAAGAAAAGGAGAAGGAGAAGGAAGAGAAAGAGAAGGAGGGGGAGAGGGATGAAGAAAAAAATGAAGCTGAAGACAAGGAGGATGCAATGAAGTGAGTCACTTTGAATCCTATTTGCATCAAACACTTAATGCTAAACACTGTCTAAAGATGAATACTATGAAGCATGTATAATTAGGATTGGACACTCCCCAAGTGTCCCTTTCACACATGTAGCACAGAACAGGAGGTTGTCCGAGTCTCACTTACTAGTTATGCCTTACCTTTTGTTTTAGGCCAGGGTTGTTTGCTGAGTAGAGTGTGCAGGATGCATGGAGCAGATTTAACTGCGATCATGTAGCCTGTTGCGATTTTGTCATGAACAACAGTCTCTTTCCGTTCTTTCAACCATTTTGACATAAACCCTTAGTGACAGAAATGTTCAAATGTCCTTCTCTGGTCAATCATTTCGTTGGGGTCTTCTATTAAAGCATATTCTTCCTTATCCATACATATTTGTTTGCTTTCAGTTTTGCACCAGCTGAATGTAAACACGATCAACACGGCCCTTACTTGGGAGCCTTTTCAGAATCCCGTTTGATGTCAGTTCTGAATGATTTGGACATTAGCATTCTCACAAACAGCACCTCTTCATGCGTTGCATTTGTAAAAAGGGGTTTTTCCCATTCAATAAAAATGCTCTCTGACAGAGTGGCCCAGTGAAAACCTTTTCGCTACGTTGCATGAGCCTGGACCGGCTCAGCTGCAGCAATCTTCTCAATTTTCCTCCGACACACAATTTTTGAATTTTTCCAGGTCAGGCTCCAGCAAATCGAGTGGGAGTACATTTTGGCTAAGGGGGAAAGATCTGGAAATCCAATCAATCTATAACCCTTGAGCCCAATCTCCCCCCCCCCCCACACCCCCCCCCCCCCCCTCCTCCAGCCAGACATTCCACCTACAGCGAATTCAAGCGTCCATTCGTTCTCCTTATTAAAACAGCTGTTTTCCTGTTTATACTTCCCAATCGGATGCCAAGTGCCATTTAAAAAAATTCTGTGCTTATTTTGTTAGACTGTTTTTTTTTTCAATTTGGAAAAAATAGGCAGTATGATTAACCCCACTCTAAATGTCAATTGTCAGTGTGTAAAGAGTGGCGAGGTTGCAGCGGTGGTAGAGGGCGGGGTTCAGGCACAGCGCCAGCAAAGGATGCAAAACAACAGATGGAATATCACTGCTTTCTGTTGCCTGTAGAGTAATCAATGAATCCAACACTCTATATCTGTATCAATGCATTATATTATGATGTCAGCTGAGGCTGTACACTACAGTAGTTTCATGTAATAGCAGGTCATATATATTAGCAGTTGTGTCCGACAAGAGGATGATGATGAAGCATTGCCTTCTGCCTCCCTGCTCTGTGGCAGGGCCAGGGGACTCTGTGACTCCCAGCAGCCCCTGCTGCCTGCTGTCCCTGGCACAGCTGGCTCGCCTATATTTAGAGTGCCACCGGCTCCCCTCAGGAAGATTAATGGAGCTGGGGGAAGATGAATGGAGGTGCAGTAAGTTCAAACTCAGTGGCTGTCTTCTGGCATGCCATTGTGCTGACACTCGATAAATTATCTTAGAAAAAATAGGAAGGGAAATCAGTGTCTGTATACACATTTACAGACAAAAGTTTTTGTTTCAGTCTTCAGAATGAACTCTTCACCAAGTAGAGACCAAACCTCTAAAGGGACAAGATGTTGATGGACGTATATTCTTTTTCAAACTACAATGTATTTTATAGCCTGCAAGTAATATTGTTGTGGCACATTTTGTGTTGCTAGGGCTGTTCTTCAGCACATCGGGTTTGAAATGAAATGTTCAAGTGTCAACTCTCCGATTCAATTTAATGATGGTGTGTGCATTGACATCAGTTTACTTTTTTCATACATTACATTGGACATCAAATGATCATTAATGTGTTTCTTTCTGTGCAGTAAGTGACAGTTGTGACACATTGTAATTAGCAGACACTTGGCATTTTCCTTGGTGGTATTTAACCTTGTCTTTACTGCAACACATATTCACTTCTCGTCTGTGTTAAGGGCTTTTTGCCTTAGTCTTATCTTCAGTGGTGAAAAACATCCTCATTGGATTAAAACATTCAGTTCTGTGGCAATTATGTTATTGCTTTGTAATATAGAGTGCCACAGTGACACGTCCTAAAACCCGGAAGTAAGCTTCTTCGATCATAAATGTAATCAATAGATTTATGATCGATAGATTTATGATTAGAAAATTATAAAAGTAGGGTAGACATGTGGAGATTATCCGACTGAACAAAGCGTGATCCGTCTCTTAAATGTGTGTCAACCAAAGACCTTATTTCGAGCTATTTTCTAAAATCCTATGGAGAAATGGCATTGCTTTTTTGTCGAGGGAACCGGAAGAAGTTTACTTCCGGGTTTTAGGACGCGTCACTGTGGCTCTCTATAAGGGGGCACCTATATCAGTGACCCACCATGTTGTGAACACTTTCAAACAGCACGTGTTTTCTCTTGTGACCCTGTGTTGACATTTCTCAAACACAGGGACGACACCTCTGGAGAAGATGCAGAGGACAAAGAGCCAACTGTGGCTGTCAAGGGTCGACGCACAGCCAACAGCCAGGGGCGCCGCAAGGGCCGCATCACCCGCTCCATGACCAGCGAAGTGGAGGAGACGACCACACCGCCACTCAACAGTGAGCTGGGTCAGTCTCTGCAGCATTGCAAATGAGTCCCAATTTTCTTCTCTGTTCAGTTTTATTTGAACCATATACTGTAAATATAGAGGTGAAGGTGGTAGGGGGAAACATTATGAAATGAATTGTGTCTCAAGTTGCAATCAAACCAACCAAAAATCCAACCAATATTCCTGTTAAACATAGAGATGCCTAGACACCTTTTTTCCTTTTCATTAGGGAAACGTAATTGATAGCTAACTTGTTTAAAACATTAAGATAGCAAGAAGCAATAATGAGGGATACAATCATGTTACTATCAGCTAACAGCTAAGGTTTACAGCTAATTTCACTAGCGTCACTCAAGATGAACTTAGTCACCTTTGATCTAGTTGCTTCCTGTCCCACACCACAAGAGTGCAGTGTTGTTCCTTTTGTCCCTTTTCACTTATTCACATTCTGTGTTGCACTTAATTTTTTTTATCAAGTGCCACTCATAATTGCATAATAAGAAATGATAAGAAAAAACGTTGAAAATGTGTGCCTACAAGAGATGAAATCCCATCTGTTTGGGAAAGACAAAGTATTCAGTGTGTCAGCAGTGTCCCCCCGCTTAGCTCTTTGTTACCTCGCAGATGGTAAGTCAGCCGTGCACACACTAACACTCTTGCTGCAGGCAATCAGGGATTTTTGATTCTTCAGCGTTTGTGTATCTATGCTGCAGCACTGGTTTAGTCACGGGGAATCCCCAGGTGATTCAGGCACTAGGGGCTCTCATCAGCAACCCCCCCACCTCTGCCACTGTTTGTTCCCTTGCTGGCAGCAGGGCTAGCCGTCCTGTGCCCTTTACAGGTCCAGCTAGAGGACACAGAAGCCCTGGCTCGCTCTCCGCTCTCTGCCGGGCAGGGCCAGGGTCGGCCTGTGCAGGGAAAGAAGCCAGTTGTTATGTCTCTAATCATTAACTGACTGCTCTCCTTAGATTTCCTGCTTCCTCCATCTAAAACAAACACTCCCTAGCGACCCACGCTGCAGTGCTTCACTGGCAGGCAGTACAAACTACCCTGCCCCCCACCCTCTTATTCTGTCTTCTCTAATTTCTCTTTCTCTTTCCTTTACCCTTGTCAGTCACTCCCTAACTGACTTTGTGACAACTGCCCACTCCCCCCCCCNCCCCCACCCCCCACCATTGTCCCGCCTTCTCTAACTCGGTGGTTCTCTATTTTTTTAACAGCCAATCTGGAAATGAATGAGAGCTCTCGCTGGACTGAAGAAGAAATGGAAACCGCCAAAAAAGGTAATACAGTAAAACTTTTCTTAGCCCTGTTAAGAACAACTTAATTCCAGTTGATGTGTATTATAGAGGAACGCTAGCAGCGGCTCAAGTACTGTTTCATGTTTTTGAAAGTGTGGAGAGGAGACGCGGCTGTGACTTCCTGTTAGTGAGGCTGCCGCTGCCACGTGCTGCTGGGTTGTGTCTTGGCGTGTATATGTCAGAGTGCCTGTTCTGAGCCTCTTGCTCTTTGGAGCCACTTCCCCTTCTCTCTGGGTCAGTGCTACGTATCTTTTTATCAAGCAGGCTGTAAAGTCTGCCTCTTATCAGCTAGCCCCTGCAAATGCAGCAGTCATTAACTCAGCCTGTTTATTGTCTCTGACTGAAGATTACCAAGAGGTCTGTGGCTTATTCACAGAGGTCACTGACATTCTGCCCATTTTCCTAGCACTGGTGCTCTGTGAGAGTGTGTTTGACTGTTTGTGCGGGCATTCCAGGAGTCTGTTACTGATATACTGATCTGCTTACCTTCAGTCGTTTGTAATGTGTATTACTCTTTGGATATGGTCCAATCTGGTTTTCTTCTGTGTGGATATTTTAATAGTTTACCTGAACATGTAAGGGGTGTTGTCCGCTCAGCTGTGTATTTAAATGCATATTTTCCTAGATGATTGTTTAATGTCTGATCTTAGGTGGCTTTGTACCATCATTGTTTTTACCAGACCTGCCTTCTGTACTTGACTCAACTCAATTTCATGCCAAGGCGGCTGCTTTGTGGCCATTTGAAGATGACATGTCATCTTGCTTTGTGTGACTGTCAGTTCTGCTTCTTGCTAACTTAATCTGTCCTCCCTTGTAATCAACAGTAGATGAAGTGTCTCTTGCAAGGAGCGATCAGCAGCTTGAGTGTGAAATTGAAACCACATTTGGTCATCATTTATCGCATCCGTCTCAAGCTGTGTGTGTCTGCTACAATATAGGGTTTGCGTGCATGTTTGTGTGTTGAGCGGTTATTTTGTGATAGCTGGCCTGGCTTGAACACAGTCCTGTGTAGTAATCCTGGTTAATGTCTTCAGTTCCATTCTCCTGCAGTGGGATTAGTGGGGCTCTCCACCCCAGAGGATTAGCCTGGCAGCTTGGTGGTAGCTGGGCTTCTATGAAGGGCTTATGTAACCACAACCACAGAGCCACAGCTACAGACCTGAGGGCCCAAGAGGAGGAGCTGCTCTTGCCGTTTTCCTCAGTTCCAACATCAACCCCCACACCTGCCAAAAGGGATTCCCCTTCCAAGATCACAACCATACCCCTCCCATTTCCTTATAGTATTAAATAAGATTGTCAAGGTGCTTGACATGTATATGTTTTAAAGAGGCTTAGGTGTCCTGATGCTAATGTGTTCATCCCCTCGAGCTAAACAGATCTGAATAATGGCATTTATAGTGCCTGGCAGGACGTTGGCATTCCAGCATGGCAGCACCAGCCAGCCCTGCCTTCGAGGATAGCACGGCCACACTCATGGATAGATCACTCTTGTCTTCAATGCTCATAAAGACCGCTACCTCATACAAGCGTCTGCCAGAATTCAGCCTAGTAAAGCCTCTCTCTCAGACCCAGCACTTCTTCCTGCCTGTGTGTGCAAGACCTGCAGCAAAAGGTTGTGTCTGTGTGCACTTGGTCCATCTTGTGTGTGTGTGTGTTTGCATGGGCACCCTCCTTGGCTGCCGTTTATGTAAGTGCACTAATCTGGCAGGCTTTGCTTGGGTGCAGGCAGCTGGATAATGGCCCCTGCTCTGCTTTGCTGGAAGAACCCATTTAAAGGAGCAGCAGGTAGAGAATGGCATATTACTTTTCTTCTGTATTCCTCCTCCACGGTTGCTCTATCTCCGCCGCTCGTTCTGTCCGTCTCTCTCGGATGGGAGATGGCAACGGCCCAGATTGGCAAGAGCTGTGGAAGATTTGGCAAACGCCTCTTTCCCCCACTCACTTTGTCTCTCAACTCACTCGGTGTTGTTATAGACTGGAGAGAGGTCACATTCAAGATGAAAAGCAGGTCAGTCAGGAAACATTTGAAAGCCTTTATGCTTTCTCCTGGTATCAACATCAACCCCCCCCCCCCCTCCTGTCTCCCCCCTCTGCTCTCTTTGCTTACTCTCCACTTCTGTGTCCTTTCCTTTTCTCCATTGTCTCTCTGGCTCAGCTCTCTCTCTATATCTTTCCCCTCTCTCTCTCTGCTCTCTGTTTACTCTTGGACTGCCTGAGTGTGTGTTTGCGTCCGTGTGCGAGAGTATTAACAAGAGAGACAGAGAGAGAGAGAGAGAGAGAGAGAAAGGGTTCGAGTGAGTGTGTGTACTCACTCATGCATTTGTGTGTGTGTGTGTGAGTGTGCGTGCGGCGGTGCCTGCTGGCAGACTGAGGTAGGGGGAGGGACGGACCGACCGGGAGAGGGAGGGAGAGAAAAAAAAAGAGAGATAGAGGAGAGATCAGATGAGGGGAGAGAGAGGCTGAGCACATAGCACCGCCCCACAGTCCCACTTTCCTGTGGAAGTCTTCCCAGACGACCGCCATTGGGGAGAGACACGGCGGAGAAGAAGAACAGACCAGCACTCACCGAAGCTCAGGGAAGCAAGAGTGAGAGGAAAAGAAGGGGAAAGGCCAGGAGCATGTGCTGTTTAGGAGCATGTCAACCTTACACCGGCTAAAGTATCAGGCCAGCTGGCAGGAAGAGCTCCGAGTCTGAGCTGTTTTCATCTCCTCTGCTCTGGATCGGAAGGCCCAGCCCCGAAGAGCTTCCCAACGGGCCCTCCAGAGATCAGACCGTCTGATACTGTTATCCACTGCAGGACCGCGGGACAACGGCTGGAGTGACAGGCAGGTGACAGACAGGAACAACCACTTTCTGGCTGCACCAGGTGTTGATTGGACTTTCTCTGGGAGGAGCTAATGGGAATACAGTATCCTGATTGGCTGTGAGGATGCCACTTGCTTTAGTATCGCTGCTGCTGATTGGATGTTTGTTCCATGTGTGTGTTGCTCCAGCAACTAAGGCCCGAGTCAACCAGAGCTGCTTAAGATTGTGCTTTAGGTGCTTGCCTCTGATGGAACAAACTGGACGTAGCTAGAGGTCGTAACAAAGTGACCTTTGGCTTTCAGGAAATTGCTTCATGTTCAGTGGGTGCAGCAAAGTGTTTGTCTTACTTGTCCTAATGTGTGTGTGTGTGAGTGTGTGAGATCACGCTACTGTTCGTGTGCTTGTGTATGTTTTGTGAGTACTCCAGAGGGTGTCTGACTGTTAGGGCGGTCTCCCCTCTCGTGAGACGGCTGTAAAAGGTTAATAAGTGTCGGTCATGTGTCTCAGTCCTCTTGTAGCGAGTCAGGTCGGTCGCCTTTCTTTTTCTTCCTTGGAGAAGCTTTCCTAGCAATGCCTTTTAGTGGCAGCGATGAATATTTCAGCTGAAAAACCTCTTCCACTTTAACACTTGACAGGTTGTAGGTGCGCAGCGGCTTTTAGATACAAGCAGCTCAGACTTGAAGATCACCCTAACTTGTTATGGTAGTTCTTTTTATACTAATACATTCTCAGCATGACTGTGAATATTATTTTTCTTCTCACGTCTGCTGCACGATGCAAGCCCTTTTAGCAAAAGTGTTTTCATGTTTGCATTAGTTGATAAGGGACAGAGGAAACGTATCATATGTAGGGCAATTTGTTTATATGCACATTGGTATCTTAGTATCCCGGTACGAATATATACATATCATTGTGAATAATACCAGGGATGTTAGACCCTTAAACAACTCGTGTGGTAGCTTTTATTGCAGCTATTACTTATTTATGGTATTACTCAGCAGAGCGTTGGTATCAGTCTTTTCTGATTTATCTGAGAGCTGATATGACAGGGCTGTAAACAGATGTCCTTTCCTCTCCTTTGGCTGGGAATGGCTTGTTGTCCTACTGCCTCCATTAAGCGATGAGATGCAGAGACCTCTGAACCCATGTCCAAGGTTATCCCAGGAGGTGTTGGCTCTTTGCCTGTTAATAACACCCCCCCCACCCCCCTCCTCACAACCCTTTTGAGAGGCTGTCCTGTTGCCAGGACCTGTCAGGCTGGCACAGGAAACAAGTGGGTGGTGTAAGCTAAGCCTCTTACAACACACACTGTTAATGAGCTGCCTTTAGCTAACAGCAGAATCTGGTGGGGGGGTGGGGGGGACACACACACACACCAGAGCAAATTCTACACAATCTGTCTTTCTCACTCACTCTCGTTTACACACACTCTACATCTCTTCTTTTTGCACACATGCACTGAACAGTTGTGTGTACGTGTGTGTTGCATGACAGGTCTATCAACGCGGTGGCCCAGCGGGTGCCTGTAGGCTCTTGTGTAAGGCACAATCATGTGGTTGCCTGAGTAAAGGAGCAGGGTTTCTTGGAACTGGGTCGCATCAAAGTCAGTCAGAATGTGACACCGAGTGACCCCAGTTGGGAGAGTTGGTGATGTCATTGGTATGACTGACGTTTCAGCCAACGCACCACCTCTTCCCTCTCATATTCCTCCACTCTGTCTCTACTTAGGAGGCAGATGGCGTCAGGCCACGCTGCCGCAGGGACTGTGTGTGTGCATGGGACAACATGAAAATGTAATGTCACTATTAGCTCAGGAAAATTGATTCACGATATTATCTTGATAATCATCAAAATATGCTTAAAACGTTTGAAATGGAACTACCGTAATACACTGGTATCTTTTTTGTAACATTATTTAATAAGGCAATCATAAATCATTAGATTAGCCTGCATGCATAAAGGGTAAAAGAAAATTGAGAAGCAATATTTTCTGGTTATGCTCCTTCTTATAAGATAATAAGATAATTCAGGGATGTTTTAAATACAGTTTTTTTTAAACTTTTCCACATAATAGCCAGCTACTCAATTAAATTGAATACAATTGTATTACTTCATAAAGGCAATCATATTTTGTAAAATCGGACAGGTAACAGACCTATGTACAGACAGACATTTCCATGTAAAAGATCCCTTGAAGACCATGTTGGGCTGATGGGAACGTTCTCTCAGCTTTGTCGCTCGTGTGAGGATATTCACAATTAATCCCTGATAACAGAAGTTTACCAACATTCACCTATTGTCATAGATTTGAGCGTAAATCCGTGAAATAATCCAATATTGTTCTGTGTATTTGTTGCTGTGTCTGTTTATGAACTGAACTCCCAGGCTGTGCTTCAGTTTTGACAGCTTTATCAGGGTGTCTGCGGGGTCTTAAAAAGTATTAAAAGTTGATAAATCAATTTAGCGAAAATCAAGGCTATTAAAAAGTTTTAAACAGCATTTTCCAAGGTATTACATTTTGTAGCTTGTTTTCAATAAGTATATAAATTGTCCAAAGAGGTTGTATTCTACAGTCTGCCTGAATGTAATCATTGCGTAGGTCTGTAGTTTATTTATGGCATCCCGTTGGATTTGACGTCATCTGAACAGGACATCGCACGCTCACTGCTTGATAGCGCGAAGGTCCGTTTACGCCGGTTGTTAAACAACATCGTTATGGGGAAATGCAAGTCTGCGTCCAAATGGTTGGAAGATAAGGAGGAAGGACAATCAATACTGAATATAGTCAATGTGAGGTGAAGTGTTGCCAATGTAACCGGTTAAAACTCGTAGTAGCGATGAGGTCTTAAGATGTGTGGGAAGGGTCTTAAAATGTCTTACATTCGACTTCAGGATTCCTGCATATACCCTGTTTATAGAGACAGGTGTTTCTAGCTTTGGATTTACCGAGAGACTTCCACACTTTGCAGTTATAGAGATTGTGTTGATAGATATAGATCATGGTATCAACCAAATAACCGCTGCATTTACAATCTTAACAACAAATGTACTTTGCTCAGATTATGGAGTTGAGACCGAGTGGTGCTAGGCCGCATGTCAGCCATGTTGTCTGTCTTTGTTCCCGTCCTATCCTAATCCTCTGCATGTCCATCTGTTGATTCCAGGCCTTCTCCAGTATGGTAGGAATTGGTCCGCCATCGCCAAGATGGTGGGGTCAAAAACCGTGTCACAGTGCAAGAACTTCTACTTTAACTACAAGAAGAGGCAGAAACTGGATGAGATTCTGCAGCAGCATAAAATGAAATCGGTGAGTACCCGAAAAAAAATTGTGAGTCGTGTTTGCTTCACATCATGCCGACAAAGTACGTCATTCATGCTTTTTTTGTGCCCAACCAAGCTGGAAAGGTGGTTTCTGGTTTCCTTTTACATCCCCCCGGCTGTTTGTATTTAGTGTGTGTTTGTTTTCACCCAGGAGAAAGAGCGAAAGGCCCGCCGTAGGGGCAAAGCCCTGCAGAATGAGGAGACCAGTGCCCCGTACACAGCAGAGGAGGAGGAGATGGAGGGCTCAGGTGCCAGTGGCAATGAAGAGGAGGCCCCTGAAGATGGAGAAGGTACGTCACTCCAAAGATCTATTTGATAATTACCAAAAGAAAGGTTTATAATTTGTGTGCATCATGATTTTTTACTTATTACATATTACTTTTACATGAGGTAGGCTGTTAGGTTATATCATATAATATGTTCAGTCATACTTTTAAATGGAATGGGCAACATATGAAAGGCACAAGTTCAACCCAACTGCAAACAGCCTGAAAAAAAATCATCCTATAAAAAACCGTAACATTATTATCTTTGTAAAGGCAGAATCTTTGGCTGAGCTGTTGTATCAGATTGCATTTAGTCGTAAAGGTATACTTAATATAATGGCCAGCCAGAGTAAGTAATGTAAGAAGCATACTGTTAAAAAGTAAAGATTTACGTTCTGCAATGACAAGCATCTGCTGTAGTTTGTTGATAAGGGAAGACTGTGTACACTGCACTTCCACAATAGAGCACTGAAGCCCCGGGGGATTTCACCCATCATCCCAATTGGTTTTGTGTTGCTCCTTATTGTACAGGGAAACCCGATTAGGTAGAAGACTGGCACAGTGAAGAATCTGTTTTAGCACAAAGAGATGGGGAAAAATACATGAAATAAGAACAAGGGGATATAACATGATTTGCCCGTTCTTGTCTTATAATCTGTGTTTCCTTTTGTCCTCTGCCAGGTGGTGCTAACAACAGCTCTGACACAGAGAGCTTGCCCTCGCCACACTCATCAGAGGACAGCAAGGCTAAAGAGGAAGGCTCGAGCAGGTCGAAGTCCAGCTCCAACGCCGGGGACAAGGAGGCGTCCGGGTCCGACATGGGCCAGGCAGGGGATGAGAAACCTCCGGTCAAGGAAGATGCAGAATCAGCCATCAAGCAAGAGATAAAGACTGAGACAGGGGAGACCAACAAAGAGCCAACGCCACCCAGCGATGCCATAGATCAAAAACCTCCTACTGCAGAGACAGAGGAGGGAAAGAGCTCCTGTAAGAGCTCCAAAAAGGACCATGGGCCTAAAACGGGTTCCCATGGGGACAGTGACTCTAGTGCCACTTGCAGCGCTGATGAAGTGGAGGAGACAGACAACCCAGACAAGAATAGGTAAGAGCTTGCAACAAGAGATGAAGTGGAACATAGATTGTTTCCAATTACAAAGAATTGCCCATTGTTTTAAAGAAAAAAGGAATAATCTTCCTGTTTTTGTTTTTATCAATGACATCTTTGGGCGTGCTTAAGATTGGCGGTTTCAAATGGCTTCTGGTTTTTCAGCAGCGGTTTACTAGGTGTCCTATTTCTCTGTTGTACCACATCAGACATAAAAAAAAAGCAGCAAGGATTTTGAACTGTTATTAGTTGCCTAGCTACACTGTACAGCAGGGAAGCCATATTTGGCAAGCCACTTGTGTGTACACCACAGGTTGCTCTTTTCTATCAACCAGAGATTTTATTTGTACTTTGTCTGAATGAGAATATACATTTACCTTGTTTAACTATCTATATATATATTATAATATATATATATATATTATAATATATATATAATAATTAATAAATCATCAGTTAAAGTATAATCACCTTAAGTCTGTCTGTCAACCTAAACTGGAGCACACACACACACACACACACACACACACACACACACACACACACACACACACACACACACACACACACTGAAGCTGGGGGAATTCCTTAAATAACATTCAGGCCAAAGCAGACATGGGTGGTCCACGCTTGTCATTATACCCCTGCAGGCATGAAGGCAAACACAAAGCACCATGGGAAACACAACCTTAGTCGATGAGAGCTGCTCTCCATCAGAATTCATGACTGTGAGTGAAACACAAATCACTTTGAGATGCAGGTTTGGTGAATCAACCAGCCAAAGATGTTGATATCCCACAGGGAAGAGGAGACTCCACAGAGAGGAAGTTAGATGGTGAAACAAATATTGTTGAGAATAAATCCCTTTGACTCTGAAGAGGAAGTCACAGCTTGTTTGTTTTTCCTACAACGTGGACTGAATCACTTTGGTGTAATGACAGGGTAATAAATATCATGTTACTGTGGTGAGCTGCCGTCACGTTGACATTGATCTCAAATTTGATTTTGTGCCTTGAACTACCTGTGTAGCTTTAACACTCCAACCCAAACCACAAACCTGAGCAAACACTCTGAGCGAACAGGCAGGCTCTTGGGAGTGGGACTTGTTTATGCTTTAAAGGCAGGGAGAGCAGGGCAAAGGGCACGGCCTTTTGTCTCTAAGTTCAGAGATGAATGCCTCTCAATGGAGATGAATGGGACAAGAAACATAAACAGCTCTTATCTCTTGGTCCTCTACCGCTGCCGTGACCCTTTCTTGTCTTCATTGACTAGCTCACATGGCTGTGTTTGCTCCCCTGCTGAGCCTGGCTCTCCCTGTGACCACCTTGTTTAGTCAATAAATAACGCAGAGAATCGACACGAAACACAAAGCACAGATTGTATCTCTGTCCACATTTCATTTTTCTCAGGGTGGATACTGTTGACACTCCCACTCCCTGGTATTTGTCTGACAGATCTGTGAGTCATATGCACCAAATGCACCCAAACCAACGACCGACTATTGACTGTCTGCACACAAAGTCCCTTCTTTGGTGATGCTTCATGCGTTTTTCATTATCTCTGTATATTTACTTAAGAAGAATATAGATCCACATATATATATATATTTAGATCCATAAACTGAATGTGCATCACTGACTGTCGGTAGTCAGTCAGATAGCTGTTACACATGAAACAAAACCCATTTTCGTGTTTACCTATTGACTGTTCACACAAAGCTGTGAGGAAGTGAAAATGTCAGAGGAAGCGCGTGCAGGTGAATCACTGATTACAGCTGAGAGTGGATGAGCTGCTAGCATGCAAGGCCAACAGCTGTGGAGCCTCGGGGGGATTCAGTAAGGAGATCACAGTGGAAAGCATGCAAACAACAACTTTGTCACCTCAAGACTCTGACGCTTACTCTTACAAACTTGTACAAATTAAACTGGAACACAGTGCAATAAAATCCAGAGGAGAAGTTATGACACTGACATTTTGGTAGTTTAAAGCCCTAGCTTTAAAAGGGAACTTATCACACTCCTTTTTGATCCCAGGTTCAAAACACATTCTTATTTGTCGTACTTTCCATCATACTATACCTCTTTTACCTTAAACACTCAGTTTAAGCGCCTGTCTCTTGAAGACCCCCTCTTGAAAAAGCCTGGTGTTCTCTGATTGACTGGCAAGTCAAATTGAAAAGGTAGTTGTCAATTATGGGTGCAACATGTTCTAATGAGCCTGCATGTAACACACCCAAAAACGTGTGGGTTGTTGTATGTGCACAATAATGTGCTTATAATTTCAGTTGTCCGTTGAATAGAACAACTGGATTGACATAAAATTAAATGTTTTTTCTTTATACTTAGAAATACTTTATCAGTTAAGCATATTGCACTTTTTCCAAAAGTTTTTACTATGATCACTCCCAAGCTTTTGCTTTTTACTCTTTAAGCAATGTTAGGCTTGACCCAAGGCAAGGAGCCAAGTAAATAATCTAATGAGCATGGTTACAGGTGACTAAATGTACTTGACTTTTTAAGAGTAATAATCAGCATTTTATCCCAGTGATTATTTTAAGGCAGCCATTTAGAAATGTTTTTAGGTCTAACATGGTCTGGTGAAGCTGGGATTGGGGTGGGCTTTGGACCATCTATCTTCATAGTAAAATAGATTGTGAGGGAAGGGAGGAAAAAAGTCTTGGTGGTGATAGAGGGGGAGCTGCAGGGTGAGGACTGTCTTCTTCATCCAGGCAGGGGTCTCCACACATTAAAACCAGATGCAACCAGGCTCCAGAGACGTGAGGTGCATTATGGATTGAACTCTAGGATCCAAATGGCATATTTAGAAATATGCCAGGCTCATCCGTCATAGAGTCAAAGCATGTTCATAACTAATTTTAAAAACAGGCCAAGAGGAACTGACCAGAGGTGTTCAGGTTCACGTGTGAACCCTGAACAAGAGACTAGTGTTTACGTGTACATTGTGTGAAAAGCAAACTGGAGAAAGGTCACCTATCTGTGAGATGGAGACGGTTCCTGGCTGGGAGTCTGAAGAAGAGCGTTGTGTGTGGAAACCACAGTGACGTCCCAGCGGCTCAAAACAAGCTCACTGCCAGGGCTGGCCTCTCTGTGGTTTGTTTACATTGAGAGCTATTCCAGACGGCTCATGCACACGCCAACGTGCACGACACACTGCACACCTCCAGAAAATATGTGTACCTCACACTGAAAAAACAGACTTGAAAAATTGCTCCTAAGGTGAGTGTATTTCTATTTCTTACTGTGTGTCTTTTTGTTTCACTTGCTCTCTTGCGTGCAAACAAACAAACACACACACACACACACACACACACACACACACACACACACACACACACACACACACCTGTATTATCCCCCCTCGCCTCTTTTCCAGACCCAATCCGCACAGCTGGCTTGGCAACGTTTTCTGAATGCAATGAAACTGAGCCAGAAAGTTCTGCAGATCAGGAATGTGTGTGTCTTTATTTCTCTGGGTGTGTGTGTGTGTGAATTTCTTCCATGCACACAAACATGTTTGTGTCCTCAGGTTTTGTGTGTGTGCAACAGGATGTGTGTGATTGCTCTATGAGGGGGGAAGGATGATGGAGCACTAAAAAATGAATCATCAGCAGACGGCTTTGGCTGTCCTCCCCCCTCTGTGTCTGCCTCAAAGCCTCATGGGATCTCAAAGCTCTCAGGAACCGAATCCTGATTGCAGAACTCTTCAATCAACCCCCACATAATAGGGATGGCTACTTGAACAAATGGTAAAGATGTCTGTTCAATAACGTCCCAGGTATTGCATCTACAAAGGACAGTTCATAGGTTTGATATACAGTGTCATTGAAACTTTACTTGAATGAGAATGATAAAACAGGTATGCAGACAGCCATCGCAGTTTGCTAAAAATAATAATGAATCTCCTGGAACCTGTGATGGATTACAGCACATGCAGAAAACATTAAGCTAGTTAAATAAGACTGTTTCGTTTGTTGGTTTAAACTTTAAACTGTGACCAGCTGAGAGTTAAATTGACTATACTGCTAATTGAGTGAAACCAAGGTGATGCGCACTGACACATAGAACATTTAAATCAGACGATCGACGTAAAATATGTCCCAGGTGAATATTTGTTTCAAACATTTTCTTTCTAGGTGTGATATGAAGTTGTCCCATGTGGGAATGTCAACATGAAAAAGAGACTTTGTGTTGGAAGATAATTGTAGTCCAGCACATGCTTTGAAAAGAAGGTTTAAACGTGTTTTTTGAAACACGTTTTGAAAAGGTGAGCAGTTTTCTTAAATGGAAAGACATTGGGTAACAACATAACAGGCATCTAACACTGTGCCTAAACAATATATGTGATCATCCAAGTTACAAACAGATGTGTAGCCTGTTTTGACGTATCTAGACATGCCCTTAGTTTGATATATCTACATATGGTTGAATCTAATTTGAGTTTGTGGTCTTCATAACATCAATCTAGATTTGTACTTAAGCAAAGTGGTCTAACAACAGAAGGCTAACAAACTCACAACGACAACAAGTTTAGTAAATACTGTATAATAAAGGCTACACTAGTTTAGCATGCTAATATTTACAATTTAGCCTGATAGACAAATGTCCCTTTTGCAGGTATTTGGTCATTAACGATTAACCTATACACGTATGTATCAAATACCAAAACTAAATGTCAGAATAGCCACTTAAATCATGTTGAGAACTCCCTTGGTTCCCTCCTCAATGAGCCTGCAGTTGAGCAACTCTTCCCATCGGCATGCTCACAGACATGCCTACAACCACAAACACGCTCATCATCTGTGTCCCACTATTTTATGGCTAATCTGTACCAGATCTCAACACTAATCCCTTGATTGCCCTGAGGATCAACCGGGATCAACATGACAGGCCCTTAAAGATGGATATGATGACACAAAAACACACCTGACACGGGAAATGCCAGTAAAACTCCCAGCACCGCTCCACAGCTTCCTGCCGCGGCTTTGAAACAATAACACAGAGGAGGGAAAACAATTCTCTGCAAACAAGATTACAGCTGCACAAGCTTAACGGGCATGCAATTAAATATATCTTTCAGACAACAAAGGCAAACACAGAGTTATCTTAGTTTTTATACGAACTGAAAAAACATCACGCATGATTTCCTGGCAATCTGCGGTAATCACCATGGAGAGCTGGTGGACCATCACAGATACAATCAACCACTTAAGACACACAGTCTGCTCTGTGCTGCTCTGCACTGGCTCTTATTTATGCTCTGATTTCCCTTTTGGCAGGGCTGCTGTTGGTAAGAGTAACCGTATGAACAGAGAGTGCAGACATTATGTGGAGAGAGCCATCAGCAAGGACTCAATCTCTCCTCTGCATGCTGTTCACTCAGGTCTTCTACTGTAAATGCGTGTGTTTTTGTAAGTGTGTGTGTGTGTGTGTGTGTGTGTGTGTGTGTGTGTGTGTGTGTGTGTGTGTGTGTGTGTGTGTGGCTGCTGAATGCACACAGCGTTCCCACCCAACTCCACCCAGTCCTGAAATACACCAGGCAAGATGGTTACAGACACATATACACCCAGGCCTTATGAAAAATAACTTCAGTGATCCTTTAATAATACTTTGACAAGATATTTTCTGGAACAAAACAAACTGCTCCACAATGGCAGCCGACTGATCATTTCTGGAAATAACTAAAACTATACAAGGATTGACATCAGGGGAGTTTCTCAGGATAACAACGCTTAAATAACTTTGTGATCATTTCGGATAACTTTAGCTGAACAACATTCAAATTGGAAAGGGTTTTACTCATTGCAGATACCCAGCTAATGTGTTCTGCTATGTTGGATCCAGTTTTTTTTTTTTAAAGTAATAGGTAAGCTTAAAAAATATGCGAATGTCCAGTTATGCAGATGACTTTCTTGTTTAGCTGTTGAGTTCATCTCTCAGACTTGATAAGCATTGAGCTGTTTCAGATTGTTTAACTCAGATCTACACCTCAGGAAGACAAGTTGCTATTTGACATGATGAGTGTCATTCATTTTGTCAAAAAAGACTTTACCTTTTTTAACATTTCACAATGTGTATAGTCTAATACAAATTAACCCAGTATACAAAAATGTTGGACAGCCCCTTCCCATTTCTTTAGTTTAAAAGGCTGGAAACATAAAGTATGACTCGTAGGTAACGTGAGATAAAAGGTCATATCTACTGGCAGAAAATTTGATTATATTGACATAGAATTTACCAATATTGTCCCATAAATACACAACAAGAGGAATAGAGGTGCCACTAATCAGAAACATAATGCTCATTATGAATAGTAATAGTTATTGGTATTGGAAGTATTCAACAGTGATTACTAACTTCTACCGATTAACAAATAGGTAACTAATAGAGTTCTCTGATGAAGTGACATATTATCAAATAGAAATATCTAAATGTGGATAGTTTCTCATTATAAATGCTAATAAATGTAATTTAGTGATGTAAAATTAATACTGCTTATTGTGAGAAATGCAAGATGAAATGCATACCAACCGGTTTATAAGAAACCCAGCTTTATATAAACCTGTTATAGCCAATTAGAAAATCACTAGTTGTGCCAATTACTTACTACTTATGAATAACTAACTGTTAATTATAGTTATCAAGATAAACCAAACCCTAGCTCCAGAAGGGATGGTATAACTTGCTCAAAGGCATTATAACAACACTCAGTCAGTCCCCGTCATAGGTCACCGTGCAGCAGGAGCAGGGAGAACGTGCTCGCCCCTGTCGGTTGTTCATGGAAGTGATCCAGATCATGAGGGCTGGACTGGATCCAGGTGCAAAAAAAGCCTGGCAGGATCATTAAGAAGGAGCTCTCCGCTGCAGAGCGCACACACACATGCACACACACACACTCACTCACTCACACACTCTCACACACACTCAGCAGAGCAGAGGAGCTCTCATCCTGATCGGTGCCAGACGCACGGTCGACTTTTTGTTTTTGCGCGAGATTTATTACGTTTTTGTTCAGTTGTGATATATATAAATAGTGTAAACTACACTTTGGTGTGAAGGTTGAAGTTAGTATTTAAGATTGTGGTTGGTTTTTCCCGTACATTGGAATATATTTCGGAATTAAAAGTGGACAGACTACTTCACGACGCGCAGGTACAGTAATGTTTTGGAGAAATAAGGGCTGGATCCATATCACTGTGGGGAGTTTTTTTTCCTAGTGTATGGGCTTTAATTAAATCCATATTTCCCCCCTTTTTCTCCGGTTGCAGGAGTCCTCCTAAAAGAAGTTCCCCCAGGATTGTCTTTCCGAGACAGGAGCGCTCAACTTGTCAGTGCAACTTGGTCCGGGGTGTTTTTTTGACTTGAGTCGTCCCAGAAATGGTGGGGCACCTACATTTACAAGCGATGGATGATAGCCTGAAAGGAAAGAACCGGGAAGGGCTGCTCGACAGTCCGGATTCGGGGTTGCCCCCCAGCCCCAGTCCGCCCTTCTGCTCCCTCTCCCCGGGTCTGATCGACTCGCGCTCCGGCAGCTGCACGACGCCCGTCGAAAGCCATCATGGATATTACAAAAAGGAAAGCAGAGAAGGCAAACTGGTAAGAAACATATCGCTGTAGTTACTGTGTTATTTGCAGCAATGTTGTAATCAAAAAGCTGTGATCTGGGTCTGTTTTGTGTCTTCATTGATTCACTGAATTAAAGGATAAAATACCTAATGGATAAATAATGACGCTGCTGCGAGAGAAACTGAAATTCTGAGAGCTTTTTAGTTTTTGGCAAGAAACAAATTTCACTTCAGTCCTTTACTCACATAACATCTGGAAGCTTTCTTTCTCTTTCTCTCTCTCTCTCTCTCTCTCTCTCTGTCAGAAATTCCTCAGTAGCAAAGTTCTGATCTTGTACTTGCGCTGAAGATGTCACTGCCCCTCAATAAGCCAGTCAAAAAGGGGCCCTTACTACAAGGTGTCATTAGGGGTCTGTGTGGGAGTTCATTATAGGTCCACTTGGGTTTCCAATCTAGGATCCAGGGACTCCCGGGGGTCCTTGCCAGGATTTCAGGGGCTCCCGGTGTGATGACAGAAAGCTTTATCACTTTAATTGCTTCACTCATCTCAGTGAAGGTGTGTGGCCTACACTAAAAGCATGACTCGTGAAATCAGGTTTCTGTCCCTCGCCTTATGACAAGACAGTAAAAATGTTATTAAGCGAATGCTCTGTGACAGATTTACATCGGGACTGTCTATTTCTACTATAAGGTCCTTTAAAACTGACAGCCATGTGCATGCTAAAACAGAATAAATGAAACACATACAAAGTCAGAAACTAGCTTTATAAAACGTTTCAATTACCACAATAACTTTTAATTGAAACCACTTCAAATATACAGAAATTGGCAAATTGGTTGATTATTGGATACGTTCTGGCCAACGGAGTGATTTAGAGAAACTAAGTCCAATAGAAACTTCTACAAATGTTATATGTTAGAAAATAATGTAGAATAATGTCTTTATTAAATGTTTAGTTTAGTTTGGTCAGAACAAAACCCAGAGGTATTCATTTTAATAATACAGAGAAAGCAGCCTTTTATGCCATTTCTGTATGGATAATAAAATAGTGGGCGATTATTTTCTGTCAAACTAATCTTTGCAGCACTGCTCGCAAATGTTTTCACATGTTGCATATGTTTTTGATTGCCTGGCTATTTTAACAAGAGAAGGATATTCCATTCAACCGTTTTTATAGTCCTTTCCCTCGTCCACATTATGATCCTTCTTATTTCTGTACTTATTTATCATGTCTGGTTGAATGACACAACCTAGTTGGGAGCCTATACATTAGAAAACTTCAGTTTTGCACTTAAGAAATGTTAGTCTAGTCCAACCCATAGTTACCTGAGTGTTAAGTGTCATGCTCAGTCTGTGAACGCCAACATCAGTAACAAAATGAAAAGCTGAAAACAGGAGTTAAAGTTGAAGGAAGCACAAAGGATTATCTAAAGTTGATCAGAGCTGCACATATAAGTCGACTAAATGAGTAGTCGAACGGTAGAAAAGTAATCGGCAAATGTTTTTATTGTTACTAAACCGGTATCGTATTGTTTTAAGCTTCTAAAAAATGAAGATGTCCTGCTTTTACATCATATCAAAGTGAATATCTTTGGGTTTTGGATTGACAAATCAAACATTTAAAGACTGAAAAACTGGAATGGATATGTTTCAGAATTCTCCGACCAAGCAATGAATCCAAAAAGCTAGAAAACTATTAGCATTTTAATGAATATTGAAAACAATGTAGTTGCAGTAGATTATTTTTGGATTCATCTGGAAAATGAATAATAACCTTTTATGTGTAAATGTGTGTGGATTCATTGGACCTGTTTGATGCCTGTCTCCTGTCTCACCATGGACATCAGCAAGTCCATGTAGCTGAAATATTTAGAAAAACGTTTTACTTAACAGTCAACCATTATTAACGTCTTGAACTCACAAGTTATGCACTTTTTTGTTTCAATTATTTTCTGAAAAGCACAAAGGGCTTTGGAGCCATAGGGAATCTATTTTCTGTCTATAATTACATCTGATCGGGAAACTGCGACTACTGGTCTGTACATAGAACCATCAAACAGTAACCCTGAGGCAACATTAGTACTTATTCAACTGAGGAAAGGCATGTCACTACACAGAATAGATGATGGTCCATGGAAAGATTTAAAATAATTAAAATGGCTACTAATGACTCAGTGGTTTTCTGTGACAAGGTTGATTTGATTGAAAATGATTTCCAGGTCACTCCCATTCTCAAACGTTTTCAGAACATGTCTGCACAGGTCGGGGTGGCTTTTAAAGAGTCTGAGGGAGGCCTCAGAAATGCAGCGCTGCATCCTGGGAGTTGCGTGACATTGGTTTGCTGGAGCCTGAAACAGAGAAAGAGAAAAATCCTCTAATCCTCTGGAGGTTCAGATTAGCAGGACTTCTCTGCTTTGTGTTTTTCTTCTAAAGATCCGTCCTGATAGAGGCTGCTTGTGTTGCTAATCCCATCAGTGTAGCTGTGTATGGAAACAACCAAAACTCTTCATCAGACAAGTTGTCAAGTTACATGACTGTGAGGACATGAGGATGCATACACTTGTTTCTCTTTTCCAAATCTATTTAAGTGTTGTTTTTGTACGCCACCTACCAACAATCCTCCAGTTCTATTCTGGGGCGCAGGGTCTTGTTAGAGCGGCTGCAGGCCATTGCATAAGAGCTGGATGACCTCTCACTTCTAAATGAAACGTGAAGCACCCCTGTTTTCAAATGTATACAGATGTGGGATACATATTTGTATACTGTGTCTTTACGAATGTCTTAACTAACAAAAGGGACTAGAGGCATGCAACAAATGAGTGTGGCCATGTTATCTGTCGTGTGTCAGACCTGCATAAGGTTGTGTTCATGTCCTCAAGGATTCAAGGATACCGGTCAAGTGTCGGTGGATTAAAATCGAGGACGGACAGGAGACATATCTCATGACAATTTTCTAAATCTGCCTCGCTGTGTGGTACCGATGCTCTTCCATTAACGTCCTTGCAAACACCAGGATGCAAAGTCAGATCACTTCCCCAAACAGCAGGCAGTTGGAGAAGTGTGTTTGAGTTGGCGTTTCTCTCTGCAGCTCTGCATTGTGCATTGTACATTGTGTGGGTGGCTCAGCTGCACAGTGTTTTTCCTGGGCAGAAATGTGCTTCCAGGGGAGTTTATGCTCTGCGAGCATTCTGGGGGATCCACTGTCTGGAGGTGACCTCTCCTCTATTCACCAATGTTTGCTTCGCAGAAGTTGCCAGAACACACTGTGGTGAAATACCTGGGATGCTCTCCATGCCGGAGCAGTGGAGGTAAAGACAATCCCAAGTCCTACCATTTTTTTAGGCCATGAAATACCAGCAGCAAAAAGAGAAGAGGCTGCAGATTAACTTTTTTTCAGTCTGGTGGTAAAACTAGCAGCTGTGCAAGTCCAGCTCCAGCACTCAGATAGTGTGTGGGTGATGATGGTAGGTAAGAGGAGCCTCTCTCAGCGATGTGCCGTGCCCTTGGCCTGTTCTCGCTCGTCCCCTGCAGAGGCATGTACGCTCTGCTGTGGCCAAACCACAGCATGTGACAGCCTCTCGTGTGTAACGTGAGAGGTGTCGGAGTTGTGGTTGGGGTGCCACTTGATTCAGATTGGTCAGAGACACACATGCAAAGAAAACGGTCAATGTCAAAAGCTCTGTTTGTCCCCCTGTGGCACCGGAGGGGACACTCAGAGGTAAAAGGTCAGTGCTAAAACAGACCTGGTTCATACTACAGTTAGTTGAGTACAGTGTATCTGTATCCCATCTGGTGTGGCACACTGTGTAAAGCAGACACTCTGAATGTATCCCATGACCTGCATGAGTAGTATGATTGTAACAGGAGCTTAGGTATGTTTGTTGTACTCATTATTGGTTTATTGGATTTTTAGTAGATTATTCTTATTCATACGGGAAAGCATTATCCCCATTTAAGGGTTAAGGGGTTTAAGGGTTTTAAAACAATATGCTAAATACAAATAGCGTGGATAATTTGCGATATTGGCCATTTAAGATGTACATGAGTATTAGAGGGTCTCCATCACACACATGCATGCTTGCTAATGTGAACCCATTTTGTTCAGGCTGGCCAGACTAAATGAGAATCTTTAACATCATCCCCTTACTTCTGAGAGCATCATCTCCACCAGTCATTTTAGTTTTGTATTCTGTAACATCTGTAGGCCTCAACATCTGTTAGCCTATTTTCAGTTGAAATACACACACACACACACACACACACACACACACACACACACACACACACACACACACACACACACACACACACACACGAGGGCGTATCAAGGAGCAGGTTTTCCTGGAGAGGGTGGGGACTGAAGTGGTTTTTATTTGGGTTTCTGGCTCGGCTGAAACCCCCAACCACGCTGGCAATTTTTTAACAAGAATTCCTCGAATGGACACGTTGGCAGGCTTGTTACCAACAGTTCAGCAGTTCATGGATGTATTTGTGAGATTGTGACTCTTGTGTTTCCTCTGCCCAGCTGCCGTACCTGCTGCTGAACTCCACGGGCACAGACCCAAAGACCCGCATGCATCCTGTGTTCTTCGGAGAAAGCATCGAGGTCAACCCCAAACCGGAGCAGGAAATCAAGTAAGGGAACTTTGAAGCATAACGACAGAGGTTGCTATTTGGAGCCTAATTATTTTTATTTTTTTATAAGTAACACATTCACACAAATATACCTTTATTTATTCATAAATATGTAATATTACATCTCTGTGACTTTTTTAAAACTTTGCCAATATTGCTCTCAAAATCATGTGCAAAACCATTTTAGTATACTTATTTTACTGAGATAGTATTAGAATAACACACATTTTGTACCCATGATGTTATTCTCATGTTGTCATAATGTTGTAATAGAAAAAAGGGTCTTACTCTTTTCTACGCATTGTCTATTTTTCGCTTGTGTTTTTATAACTTCCTATACACTTCATATTTTTACACATATTTTTTAATTCTTCCATTAATCTGGCACAAGAATTTTCTTTGGGATTACTAAAGTAACATTTGATCTTCTCTCTTAACAACACTGCCACCTAGTGGTCAACTTTAGCTGCGTTTCTAAAAACGTGTCCCCCTCTCTTTCCTTACAGATGCAACTCAGAGGTCAAGTACGACTCGGACAAGCACTACCAGGACCAGGTGTACTGCACCCCGGTTCCCACGCCAATCTCCTTCAGCGAGACGGTGGTGGCAGTGAGGAACTGCACCTGGAGGAGCTACAAGTCCCAAGTTTACCTGGAGCCGCGGCAGAAACCCATCAGCTACCGAAGCACCACCATCATCTACCCGAAGCACGCCAAGAACACTTACCGCACCACGCTCAACTACAACGCCACGGGGTCCCGCCGCTGGTTCGTCTCCACGGTGAAGCTGGAGTCCAGTGAGGATACTAGTCCCTGCATCATCTACACAGAGGACCTGTAGGGCCCACAATGCACTGGGAGAGGGCTACCTGGTGATTGTATCATTTGTTTTTGAGGACAAGGAACTTGGGGAGGCCTATATTGAAAGGGAAATACTTCAAGTAATACCTGAAAAACCCTGCTCTGTTCATCTTTACTCGCCATAGAGAAAACTGTTGGAACCCTTTATCGACATTTCGCCTGAGATTTTTTAGACTTTCTACTGATGCAGTCTTTAAAAAGAGCCTGTCCTATGGCAGTTTGTCAATGGTTAATGTCTTATTTAATACAAGGGCTGACAAATTGGCGGCCTTTCCGGTTGGATGTAACCTCAGTGAAGGTGACGGACTGTGTTAGTAGAGAAAAGTCGAGATGTGGTGGATTTCAGCTCCGAGCCAACCGAGACACGCCAATGCAAAGCTTTCTAATATGGCTTTATTGCACTTGTTTTCTATATTAAAGTCCTCCCAGTGGACTTGAATTGCGGGGGTGGGGGGATTTCAGCATGTGAAAAAATTGGACCAAAGTTTGTCTCTTTGTATGACCTCCACACTCTGAGACAAAACGCTTGCTTTTGTTGTACAGCGTAAATTAACACACATTAAAACAGCAGCCTGTTTAGATTAATTAACAATTGAATTAAACTCAACTGCACATTGCAAAGTCTTGATAAGTTCCCAGAGCTGACTGTATAATTCAAACTAAAGTCTAATTAAAAGACAGCACAATAACATCTGATGCCTTGAGAATATTTGAAAAAAGGGAGATATTTAAATCCTCTGAAAACTTGGTTTCAGATCTTTGTAACTTCACAGCCACGGTGGATCACTTATTGTCGTAGATTAAACATCTGTTAAACGTAATGTTTGTTAACACTTGATTTGAACACTTTAATTAAGATAGTGAAAGGGTGAAGGGTTTTGGTAAAGAGGTTCTTGTTAGCTGGTTCAGCTGCAGATCAAAAATCAATGAAGTTTGGAATTAAAGAAGCAGCGTTAGACATTATTTATTAAAAGTTGAACACTTAAAAACTCAGTGAATCTGCTTCATCAGGAACACACATGATCAATGGTTACAAGGTTAGTGAGAACATACAGGTGTATTTCAATGCCAAAGACTGTGCATGTTTTTTAGTTGTTTCAGTCAGTGTTGGTTTCAGATGGTTGGGCTCGTCACTGAAGTGCAAACATTTTGACGTGAAGTGTTTGAATATTTAAAACACTTCTGTCACAACACAAAAACAAGAACTATTTCCAGCTGTCATTGACTGCTTTTAATGCTTCAAGGGTTCAGCTTCAAAAAAGACAAACACAATTGTGATTATTTGGCACCAGCTATTTGTAAATACATCAGTTTATGAAAAGTTGTTAGCGATTTATTTAATTATATTTGCATAATTAAAACTTAAGGAGTGTCTTAGCTTTTAAGTCATTTTCCAGAAATCCTCTGGAAATGTCACTGTAGGGTCATACAATAATACATTGTTAATTTAGGTGATACTCATTTATTTATCAGTGTAAACATGGATAAATATGTGTTTTCAGTGTCATGAAATATCCAACTATGCAAACCTAGCTAACGGTATTTGGCGTTTTAGTCTGACATTGTTAACAGCACGTCAAGTAATGTTAGCCATGTTGTTATTTATAAAAAATTATTTCAATATTTCGGGATAGATGTTACTCAAAACTGTTCATATTTAAGCAAGCTTTGTCAGTGAGCTAACGTTATGTAGCCTACAGCAGCTACAGCTGACAGTCACTGGGCGAACATATCTATTAACAACCCATCTCTACTTAAAAACGACTTTATTGTCAAAGAACTCTTCATAATTTAGCGATGTTTACATCTACACCTAGTCCGAACTTCCTTTTTAGGGTTTAATTTACAAATAGATGGTGCAGACAAGCGTTTAATGCTGTTTTACAGATATCAACATATTGTCATATTGAAACCACATCAGATCATCCTGTTGAAGATGTAAAATATAAGTTTATTGAGCATTTTTTGTGAGTTTTTTGTGTCTGTCTTCTATATATATTTAGATTATTGAACATGGACAATATTGAAACATCAGACTTTACCTCAAATTTTCCTAGGTATCCATTTTACTTCATTGCAAATGTGTTTTTCCGAATTTCAGTTGAGGTATTGAACTTGCAGTCTTGGTTATTTTATTGTTTGAACAACCTTCTAGGAAAGTGTAAGGGTAGGAGATACATGGAGGCTTTATGGGGAGGGGGTGCATCAGTACTGTGTGATGGGTACTGGGTTTTAATGAGGGAACAGTAAGTAATAAGCAAAGAGGGGAACATCAGATCTGCTCTTTCAAAAGGAAAACTGTAGATGAGATGATAAAATATTATGAAGATGGCTTTTTAAACTAAACAGTAAAGTTATTAAAAGATGACAGAGAGTTTTGCTATGTGTAGATGGTCTGTGAAATGTCAGAGAATGATGACAGAAAGTCGGTGGGTGTCAAGTTTAATACGTTGGTGTTTTTATGTGAGATACTTGTGTTTCCTAACATTTGATTTTGTTACTGTACATTTTTTTCCTGTTGTATATGTGGCATCAACGCACTTCATATTTCTCTTTATATTTTTGTACGTCAATCGATCGTTCTAGTTCTGATTAAAGAAAATTATTTAAAAAGATGTATATCCTAAATGAATAAAACATTGCGATTCCTAAAACCTACTTCTGTTGTGTTGAATACATTTGTTGCTAAAACTTAAACAGTACATTGTATTTGCCTGCTTAGCAATGCTGTGATGTCATCCATCGGGGTGGAAGAAATAAATGGTGTGAATGAGTAAATTATTCAGTCATTAAGCTTTTTCTCTTCTTTACATCACAGAGAAGTCCCCACAACATTGTGTTTTCTCTCATGTCCAAACACAAGGTAGGAAGGTAGGAATCACTTACCTAAGAGATGCTTTACTTTCGGAGGTCTTTACTCTGGACAAAGCAAGGCGGCAGAAATAAAAAAGTCTGATTATTAGTAAACAAAGACACTTTTTGTTTTGAGGTAACAAAACAGGAAACTTCAATGGTTTAGACTGAATATAAGGACGCTGTTCGATGATGTAAATTGGGAAAAGAAGGCTGTTTACATCTTATTACACCATCATTGATGAGAGATACATTAAAATGGCATAATTAAGATGAATAAGGAAAGTATTCAGAATTCTGTGTAAAACACATTCAAAATATAACCGTTACAAACAACTATGCTTGTGCTGCCCCCTTGTGGTACCTGACCTGTCCTGCAGGGCTAAGCCAGCCAGCCAGCCAGCCTGACAGACAGGCAGGCAGGCAGGCAGGCAGGCATACAGACAGACGGACAGACGGACAGACAGACAGACAGGCAGACAGACAGGCAGACAGAAAGACAGACAGGCCTGAAATACTGAATTTCCCCACGGGGATTAACCTGTTAAGCCCTGAGCCTGTTTTTAAAGGTCCATCTTATTTTATCCTATATTACAGAAGCATGTTGCCCATAAACTATATGTCCCACAATGCATCTCATTTTGTGACATGCGCACTGAAGAGACTCGCAATTATTTGCCCTAGACTTCCGCTAGTTAAGTTATTACCCTATCCGATAATAATCCAATGCAGAGGCAATAATATAATATAGTACATTATTTCATACATATTATGTATTCATATATGTATATTTATATAGTTACAACCGGCCCTTTCAGTGCAACCATAATGCTAATGTGGCCCACGATGAAATTGAGTTTGACACCCCTGATTTAGACTGTTCCACAATGACTAAGTGGACAAAGTAAAAGTGTGACTGCAGAAATCCAATAAAAAAAACACAGAGCATTAAATAACACGACGCCGAGACCATGAATGGCAATAAGCTTTTTATTTAAACATTAAGGCAGTGTCTTTTTTGTTTTTCATTTTACACTGCTATCCACAAAGCTTGCTGGTGGGCATGTAGAATTTAACCATGTGAATATTTATTTAATTTTTTTAATTTTTTGTAATACCAACCTTGAAGCAAGCCACATAAATATTTACATCTCTTCAGTTTTATATACAATCCTTGCTATTATACAGTGGGTTATAATAAAAAAAAATCATTATGCACAGAATGGTTGAACAATGTACTGTTTATGTCGATCCCCCGCCCACCCCCCTTTGACAGTCCAGGGAACACATCATGAATTGAACTCCGTCTCTTCACGTTTTGAATGATTACTTGAGATTTGTGACGAGACAGAAATTGATACAAACTGTAAGAACAATGAACCAAATGGATGCATGTTAAAATTTGTTTCAGTATACTTTTAAAAACAATGTTTTAGTCCGACATCAGTTTAGGGAACAGCTGGATATGGCTTAGTCTGTTTACCATCACATTCTTCAATTTCATCAGTGGATCAATGATATACGAGCAGAAACCAATGTACAAAGCCTGGCTGTTTTTCTGCCATGCCTGCTGAAATTTAAAACCCTCCTTCAGTCTTGATAGAAAATGAAAACAGGCCGAAAAGATGGCTGAGCTTTCTGCAGGTGTGGCAGGTGGGATGAAGGAGGAAGAGGATGTAGTCCTTTAACAGTCCCGTTTGTGAGAATCAACAGTGAGAAAATGAGCGAGAGATGGAGAGGTAAATCTTCCTAAACCACTGACCGAGCTCACTGTCATCGCTGCAGTTTTTCAGTCAGAGGACAGAGTTCGTCCCTGGTTGCGCAAAGTCACAAGCCGAAAACATTTCACACATCATTTGCACAGAGGGCGACCTTTACAATGCTGCAGTAAACTGTGACAACATGTCAACTCGTGTTACATAAAACAACCAGAATGCTTTTGAATGCCTCCCCCCCCACTTCTTCTGAACAGTACAAACACAGCAGATGCAATGAAGTACACTTGAAGCATGACATGGCCCGGTTAGCTGTGACACAGCATCAGTTTGAAGATGAATCCAATAAGTGAAAGAGTTCAAAGCTAAGGCTGTGATGGATTTCGAAGTAAAGAAAAAATGCACACAAAACGTTTTTTTTTAATTTTTCTTTTTTAAAAGAGGACATTTTTCCTTTCCGGTTTTGCTTTATCATAATTCCCTGCTTGGACAGTATTAACTGTCATGGGGGGTTAAAAGAAAAATTGTGCGTCACTTGGTAACTTCAGTACTGTATATGTAAAATAAATGGCACTTAACACTAGGAATATCTCATAACTGTACAAAATCTGCCAGGGTGAGGAGTCGGGTCTCAGCTCCCCCTCTAGGCAGTAAAAGGTCAGAGGTCAGACCGTCACAACAGCTCCTAGACAGGATCGCAGCAGGCCAGCTGAAGCTGACACCGCCATGGACCAAGGGTTGTAGAAAGATGGCTTTTTCACCTCTCTTTAATGCAGGCAAACTCCAAAGTGATGCTGAGGAGTTCACCTTTAAGCAGCTTTAAGGTCGGTCTGCACCTGCTCGCAGCGGCTTAGTCCTCGTTCACTAAAATGTGATTGTCGCTTTGAGTGTGGGAGCGATAAAGAATATCGGTAGCAAGACCAAAATAAACAGATTAAAAGATACAGTGGGATTTATACGCTGTTCTTGAGTCCATTTTGCACCTGTACCAGGAAACTGAATCTTAAAAATGCCATTGTGAACAGACTGACTACTAAGTGCTTAATATCCAAAAAACGTTCAACAAACACAGACATGATTAATATAAAAACAGTGAGAAAGTGTCACTTGTTTCAGTGCCATCCGTCTGGCAAATCATCTCTCCCCTTGCCTGAGATCAACAGGCCTTTACTGTTCCTCAGGATCCCCCCCCCCCTCCCCCCTAATGACGACATCAGCAATGAACAGCATGTTTACCCTGTAAACCAATGATATGACCCTCCCCGCATAACAATCTCTGTCCCCCCCCACCCCGGCCCCAAAAAAGATACATCATTGCAGATAATAGACAACAAAATGACACCATCAAAAGTTCACCATCAAAATGTACTAACGGTCTCAGCTCACGTTCCAAACACAGGACTGGACTGACTGAATTTAAAGAAGCAAAACAAAGAACCGAAACAAGAAAAACGAGATGTTGATTCTCCTCCCGTCGCCTCGCACGTGTTCTTGTAGTGGCAGCACAGGCCGCCTGCACCGTGAGGACACCGCGAGAACTCCAGAGGGTCCTCAATGTGGGGGCCGCTGCTCTCAGGTCAGATCTGCGCGACAGGGGCCGTCGACAGACCAACAACACGACCCCGGGGTCCCTTCCACAACAAGTGTCAGCACATCAGAGCGGAACACCCAGAAGGTGCAGGTTAATGTGTCTATATTGATAAGGCCAGTGAGGAAAAGTAGTAAAGTAAAAAAAAAAAAAGAGAGAAAAAAAGTGATTTGTCCTTTAGGGTAGTCCTGGAGTGAATGCATAACACGTAAGTGCAAACCCACACCCCCACACCCCCACACCCCCACACACACACACACACACACACACACTGAGCAGCAGTGTCTCAGCTCTTCGCTGCTTTGCATCTCGTTGTGTGTTAGGAGAAGGACATGATCCGACGGAGAAGGAGGAAATGCAGAGTGGAATGGTGTTGGTAGGTTTGCAGGTGTGTGCGTGTGCGTGTGTGTGTGTGTGTGTGTGTGTGTGTGTGTGTGTGTGTGTGTGTGTGTGTGTGTGTGTGTGTGTGTGTGTGTGTGTGGGTGTGTGTGTGTCTTCAGCAGCAGAGCGTTGGTTGACTGTTAGAAGGTTCTTGTGGTTCGATAGGTTCCCGGTCACTCGCTGTCAGACAGGGTCTCGTACTGAGACATGAGCAGAGGCTTGGGCTCCTCCTCCCAGGAGCGGCCCTGTCCAGGTCCCGGCACCGGGCCCCCCAGCTGACCAGAGGAGGGGGAGGGGGCGGACACTGTCCCGCTGGGGAAACGCATTATCAACGGATTACAGGGGAAGGGAGATGGAGTCGAACCTGCAAAAGGCAGAAGGACAGAATTGTTATGCTGAGTTAAGGACACTTTCCTCTTTCCAAGCAACGTTACAACATATAAGTGAGGTTAGAATAGTTTACAATGTTTTCTTAGTTTTTTATTTTTGAAATCTAAAACCTCAATTTTAGATTTGACTTTTCAAGTGTTACAAAAATAACCTTGCAAATATTTGTCAATGAGTTAATAGGGAGTCTTCAGAGGGGGGGTTTTCTACCTGTGGATGAAGGCCGATCCTCCCACACGCGGTTGGTTAGAGGAGTCCTTCGGTTGCAATCTCCCTCAGAGTGGACTGAGGACACGGAGGAGGGTCTCTCCCCCCCCGACAGACCCGGTCCTGGAGATTTAGCCTTGCGTCCATTAGAGCGCCCGCTGCCCTTTGAGGACTTTCCACCACCTGCACACAAAGATCACAACAGCTTGAACCCTCAGTGTTACAATCCAGTGCAAAACTATTTCTGTGTTGAGCTATGTTATGTTGCTTTGAGAGAAAAGACACAGTTGCGATGGGGTCCTTTAACAGCCAATAGGTCACTGACTAAAGATCTCAGCTTAGTTGTAAGAAACTAAAATATGTGATACAAAGCTGGGGCAAACACAGAAACAATTGAAAGCCTTCGATTGCACCTTGGAAAAAAACACATGCAAGAATACATTGGCGTGAAGGAGACATTAAAATACAAAATGTCTGAGGGGGTTGCACCTTGTGAGAAGAAGTCTTCACCACGTCCGTCGGCTGCAGGGACCCCCCCCGGGCCCATCAGGTTGGAGGGAGAGCGTTCCTCAGGCTGATCGTCATATTTGCCCATTAAGGCCTTTCTTATAATGGCCTCCAGGCCTATGGAGTTACCGGGTTGTTCTGAAGCTGGATGGGGGCGGGGGGCCACAGGTCCTGTGGAGGAGGAAGTGTTACACAGGTTAGAGGGAGAGAGGGTGCAGGGGTATAAACCAAGGGGTGAATGTGTCTCGGAAGTCTTGCAAGTATCAGATGTCACAAGTGCCCAGGCAATGAACTCATCTGTGTCATCTGATGACGCAGGTCAAGTTCATTTCCTGTGTAAACGCCACCTTTCACAGAACCTTAGAACCTCAAATTATTTCTGTACAAAAGCTCTACTGTAAACACAAGCAGTCGGGAAGGTTATTAAGCTAAACAATGTCCAGGATAAGGGCGGGGATGTGGAAACTGCTACCTTTTTGGGGTAATTTAGCTTGCTCCTTGCATTAAAAGTACTTTTGCAGTAGTAAGCAGTTTTTCTTTCAAGCAAGCAAAGCACTGCAACTAAACAACTCATGCGGTAAAGTCCAGGTTGTTAGGCTACAGATTATGCTGCATACAGTACATCCACTGTTGTGTTTCATAAAAGGCAATTCTCTCACTATAAATCAATATAATTGTAGATGAGGTTTGAAAACATTACCTGCATTTGTTGACGCTGGCATATTGAAGATTTCTGTTCCTGGTTGACCAGCATCTGAAAGTGCCAACGGGCTGTTTTTATTAAAAGTCCATTATTTGTTCATATTTTGAATTGTGCACTGTTGCCTGTGCTGAAGTCAGACTTACTGAAATCACCGTCATTTCCCACCACCGTCATCTTCTTAATCATCTCCTGTTTCTTTGACCTCACAATATCCGAGGTGCTCTCGGTCAACTTGCTGAAGAAAGCCGGAGGCTGCGAGGTGTTCGGAGGGGAGCGGGAGCCCATTCTACAAGACAGGAGAGACAAAATGAGATAAAGATTTGATGATTTGGGATTGTCGAGGGTTCCTCATTGAAAAAAAAAGCAGCGATGGAACTAAACAGGAAACTTCCTCACTTTCAAGCCCCTCCCATAAGCTTTCTAAGAGAGGCTTAGCAAAACGAAACACGATAAATAGAGCCCTTTTAAAAAAAAAAATGAAATCAGCATCCTTCTCTGAAAGCCCATTAGGTCCATCTTCAACCTCAATGCAACAGAGACATCTGAGCGATATGGCTGAATTGAAAAAGGAAGTGTTATTGAAATAGATGTTCCCTGTCTTGTAGCATTAAAAAACTATTCTAACACTTATCTATGTAAAGATCCTACATTTCAGCCTGCTAATCGAAATCCCATCCAAGCTAATAAGCCCATTATAAAGTGGACATGTTGAAAGATAGTTTTGTAGCCGTTTGTGTGTAAATCCACAGCGCTGTTACCCTTGCTCCCCCTGCTCGCTGCAGTACGAGGCCCCTCCCTGGACTTCAGGTTCAGAGCTGGCTCCAGCAGGAGACACCGGCTCGATGCCATCGTTACAAACACTGATGGGGGAAGTCTTGGGCTGAGGAGGAGACCTGCAGAGAAAACAGATACATTACATTAAGGATTGCAACAAGACAAACAGATGAATGAGTTGTTTCCATAATGGACATCAAGGTTCATGTTCTGCTCAAATCTTAATATTTGAAACACTTCTGCATAAACAGTCTTGACCTTGAGCAGGCGTGCTACTCTAATAGTGAGCACTGTTTAATGGAAGGATTATAAATAGCAGTTGTTCTTGCCAAGATGCATGTTTCAGAAGCAGTGAGCAAAGACACATGCATTATTCTGCATGAGTTGTGTGAGTTTGTAAAAAGCAGTTTTTAAATTCATAAAGGCTTTTCCCTTTTTTCCCTCCTGCTTAATTCACCATGGAGGCACGTTTTCATCAAGAATTCAAGGTAACACAGGTTGACCCTTTGATATACAAATGGTTATATTTGAGGGAAGTAATCAGATAAGGAACAAGTAGAAGAATTGCCCACCCCATACATTTAACAGTTCTTTTTATTGTTCCAAAATGATTATGTTTCGCATTGATTCCTACCTGTCTCTGTTGCGTTCTCCACAGTGGGCCTCTTGATATCGGGACCCTTGGGCCAACTCTTGTGAGGTGGGGGGGAGCTGGGAGGCACTGGGGGGGCGGGTGAGGTCCAGGACAGGAGAGCCATGGTAGCTCTGCTGCTGGCTCTGCCTGGTGTAGTCTTTAGTTATCACCTCCTGTTGGAGTAAACACATCCACATCAGAAATGGGACAATGTTGGATTGCATCATTGCTTTAGTTCAGTACAAATAGCAATACCAGTGTAGAAATACTCTGTTATCGGTGAAGTACTACTTTACAAACAGTAATAGTAGTAATTCCACAGAAATGCCAAATGAGGGATTTTTTTTTTTTTTTTGTGGCTTTTGAATTTCACCAAGAGATCAATAAAGCTTTCTCTTCACCTTTAATACAATTATTAACCTATGTGTTGATTATATTTTTGAAGTATTAATCTGAATAAGAATTTTCAAAGTGATTTAAGCTGTAAAATAAATGTAATAGAGTGAGTACAATATTTCGCAGTTGTATTGTAGTGAAGAAGCATCAAGTAGCAAGGAACTAAAAACTGTTAAATAAACTAAAAGTTCCTCAAAATTTTACTTTTCAAGGTTCTTGAGAAAATATAATGGCCACCGCCTTCTTTCACACATTGAGCATCATAATTACTTGAAACTACCATCACGTTTCAACACGTCAAGCCACTTACGAAACCTGCGACATACATATTAGGATCTAAATTGTTATTGTGTAGTGTTTGTATTGAAGTGGTTGGGGAACTTACACTGATGTGCTGTGCCAGGGTGACCACCCGCTGGCTGCCTTTAACACTGGGGGAGGAGGGCTGCTGGCCCGGAGACAGTCTCTCCTCAGACGGGGGACGGTACAGACCGTGTGTCTCCATATTCTGTTGAGCTGTTCACACACACACACACACACACACACACACACACACACACACACACACACACACACACACACACACGTTAGTTTTCTTTTGAGTCCGTGGTGACACAATTCAAGTTCTTGAGCCAATGGGAAACATGCTTGATTCAAAAAGTGTTTGTCCACACATTAGGATTAAATGGTGGTTCTGCAATTAAACATTTCATGTAGCATCTGCACATGATAGCTCTACGGGACAAGCTTTCACAGAAACATACTATATGACAATGTGTGTGACAAGCTACTTCAAATATTGTAAATATTCAAAAATGAACTCTTTGCATGAAGACCAAAAAAAGCTTTGACCAGAAATGAGGCTAAAATAGACTGGTTTTGCATCAGTGACTCGTAAATGAAGAAGTCGATTTATAGTAGTTCCTCAATCAACAGATTAGAAAAAAGGTCATGCCTTAGAGACCAGAAGAATATAAATATATTTACTGTATCCTAAGATAAAATAAACTATAATTACTAACTTAACTCGAGATACACCCATTCATGTTTACCCATAAATATGTGAAATTGCTGTTGAACCCTTGTGCCTATTTTTCTTCCTTGTTTTCTTACACAACTCTCGCACTACAGTATTTATCTCAGGAGAGGATGATGTAAGTGGAGCTGAGCAGACTGTATGGGCCTCAGACGAGTCCCCTAAAGGGACAGCATGATGTGGTTTCTGTTGTTAGCTGGCAATGACAAAAAAACTCAGAGTTCATTTCAACTAAAAGCTTTAACTAATCTGCATTTCCCTCGGGCCCTGTCTACTAGTTTTTGAATAGAGGGCTACATTAATAAGTCTGTGCGGCAGTCTTGTCTGTTTTCAAAGGTATGCTTCCCATCAGCATGCAGTCTCACTTTCCCTACAGGCCCGTCATACGACACATTTCTTTATAACATAAAATAATCACATTCCACATGACGGACAAACTCCCAGTAGTTTGATTGAGAGAGATGTGTTGAGTGTGTGGCATGTGTGAAAAAAGAAAAAAAGCATAAATTACAGTGAACCATAAAAAGGAACATGCTGAGATTTGGGGGGGCAGAAGCTGCAGTACCCCCCTTCCCTTGGATGGCTGAAAGACTTTTCCACGTCCCTCCCCTTTCCCATCCTCTTCCTCTGCATCACCGCCGCGCTGGGACCCCAGGGAGAGTCAGTTTGGTGGTTTGTAAGGCTTCAACGCTTCTGATGTACGGGACTGTCACTATGATTCTCTTTTTCAACTTAGTCACCATGTGGTCATTGTCCAAAGTAGTGCTCAGCGAAATGTATTTCATATATAAGTATCTACAGGACAGAAGTGCAGTAGTGAAGTACAGACACTGCATGTATAAAGTGTTTGAATTACAGGCAGTCTCATTTAACATGGGATATAAAAGCCTCCTGCCGTGAAATGCCTTTTTAAGTGCCTTCAATATTTTTGGTCACGCCCACTTGAATGTGGTGAAATATTCAGTTTAAAGTAAGCAGCCGAATAGGAGGGAGGAGGGGCGCCACATTTTAAAAATTCAAGTCACATCCTGTACGAAAAGAAAATGAAAATGAGCAGCAAAGGATGTTCTGCCTCAATGTCCCAACATCTTTCTTAAAATTAAACCTTAAAGGACACCTAGGATCTTCTTCATGGAAAATGTTGTGATGTTAGTAATTATTAAATAATCAATGCTTTTAACTGCCTTTATTAAATCTCAGCCCGTCAGGTCCAATTAGGACAGGCTTATTTTCCAGAGGGCACCCTTGGTGGCCTTTAAGTTTGTAAAGAAGAACTAATAAAAAAAGCCAAAAAGTATAGCATTGAAGGAAAAATAATGTAAATGAATTGGGCTGATTTGATAATGCCAACCACCACAGCGTGCAATAGGCCACAGACTGACGGGGGAGGGTCTGGGTGATGAGGGGGACCCTGGGATCCAGAGCGTCTTACCATCAGTGGCGCTGCTGGCAACAAGGGAGCCCGTCTCTGCCATCCCCGTTTCACAAGAAATTTGACGCATAATAACCGCGTTTATGAAGTTGGCCGCAGTCATGGTGGTCTTACCGAGTGCTCGGAGCTCTTGTTCCTGAATGGACATCGCTTTGTTTTGAGTCTTTTCCCTACTAGGTGTACCACTTTCTCCGCGGCCAGGGGGGTTATCCGACTGGTGAGGCAGCAGGTGCTGGGGCCGGCCTGAAGGCGAGCTGTAGGACCCGGGGTACATCCCTCCTGGGCTGGACAGTTTGGGCTCAGATTTACTGGAGGGCCCGTGCTGGTCCTGCATGTGCTTGGGTAGACCACCCCTGTTTTTGCCTCCATCGCGCTCTTTGGCTACACCCGAGTCCATGGCAGGTTGGTAGGCCTCAGGGGGGACACCTGTCCTCTGGAGGTGGCCAGGGTAACCTTGGTAGCGGGCCGACCCGGAGGACATGGACCTGGCAGGCCACAAAGAAAACATGCTTAGTAAACAAGACAATCAAAATCCTTTTTAAGAGAGGAATTAGCTCAGGCAAATATCACTATTTTGTCAGCAGAATTGAAATCTAGTTTACCGAAACACAGAGCCGGAGTGGTCGCTGACAGAAAGACTCTTGCCCCCGGTGTTGTGCAGGACGCTCGGCCTCTGCTGCATGTTGTCCTGGGTGCGAGGGGATACGGGGGAGTGCTGGTGGCTGTACGGTTGGGAGGAGGGTCTCACACTGCAGCTGCTACTGCTGGCCAAGCTGTGCTCTGTACCTGAGGGGAACAAACACATATTCCCAACACTTATGTTAATTTGAACTTAGCCCCCGTTTAGTTCAATTCATCAAGAATTCTCAAATGTTGTATTCTTTGTTCACTATTGGGGCATGGAAGAAAAGAAAAGATTCCGTCATAATTCAAGGTAACGTAAGGGTAAGTTATTGATACACAAATGGTCATTTTGTAAGTAAAGTCACCCTTCTACAGTTTGATTAATGTCCATAATAAAAACCTCATTGATTTGTATTAATGTAATGTTATCTTTCTTTGTAAGCATAAAAATAAAAAACACACCTGGTCTCCAGATGGGCGCGTGCTCCACATTCCCCATAGACCCGCCCTTCTCTCGGTCCCGGTCTCTGTCCCTTTCTCTCTCCCGGTCCCTTTCTCGGTCTCTCTCCCGCTCTCTTTCCCGATCTCTCTCTCGGTCGCGTTCCCGGTCCCTCTCTCTCTCCCTCTCTCTGTCACGCTCACGGTCTCTCTCGCGCTCCCGCTCTCTCTCGCGCTCCCGCTCTGAAGATGCGCCTTGCATCTTGTTCATGTGCACTGTACAGAAAAAGGGAAAACAAATGATTGTAAAAACAAAACAACTGCAACACATTTATCAGAGAGAGCTCTGTTGTGAACAGAATCGTACCAGGTGAGATGGGGGAGGTGGTGTAAGGCCTGCCAGGGAAGGAGGCTGCTCCCCCGGGGATGTAGGTGATGCGATCCATTGGGCCTCCGGTGGCCCCTGCAGAGGGAGGGACCAGGACAGGTAAGTGTGGCACCTGAGAAAGATCGATGATTCCTAGGGGACACACATTTAAGAAAGTTATAGAAGGACCCCGATAGCTGCTCTGCATGTGTTGTGGTAACGGATAAATACATTTCCCATATTGATCCACATCACAATATTTGATTTCAATTGGTTTGAGGTTTTTCTTATATTATGAGGGAAACGAAAATATGGTTTGAGTTTAACACCAAAAAGATTGATAATAATGGATTGACTAGAAGGAGAGACTCTAGAAGGAGAGACTCTAGAAGGAGAGACTTGTGTCCTCTTCTTTATTAAGCATTTCAAGTCTCTAATGAATGATGCAAGTCATGTTCCTATAAATACTTGCTTTTGTTGTCCATGTTATTTGTATATATTAATCTTTCATTTAAATTCTTTACAATTGAATATTACGTAACCAAACTCACTCACTGCAACTCAAAAGCATTTCAACTTTTTTACAATACAATTGTTTATTAAAAGGACAAATGGAGATTTATTTGACGCTTAGCCCGATAAATGACTCATGCCCCTTTCACACCAACGCGTTTCCAGCTCCGAGCCTGAAAAGTACCGTTTTTTCCTGTTCACACCGCACCTTAGCTCCGGAATCCGGTTCACTTCCAGCTCCAAAAAATTGTCGGTCTAGAAGCAAGAGCTTCGGAGCTAAGAGGCGGCGTCGCTTACGTCTCTCTTACGTCGAGGCGTGCAGGAAACTAAACCCACCTCCCCTGAACATGGGTCGACTGAAGAGTCTCGTCATGCCTGCCTACAAGCAGGCGCGCTGAACAAAGTGACTAGAAGGCAACCACACACTTATTAAAAAAAACACACTTTATAAAGTCAGGCAACACTAACCAGGCTTCGTGTGATTCTGTTTATTTGTACCTTACTTTGACCATCCCTTCGCTGTTATTGATCATTGTGGAGAGAGGCAGACATTTTGTTTTTTATTATAGCAGCTATCGGATGGAATCCATACATGGGCTGCACAGGTTGAAAAGTATAAGGTTGGAGAAGTCGTTATTTAATTTAATCTGGCTTTGCTTTAAAAACAACACGACCATCGACCCGACGCAGCCCCCCGTTGTTGTTGTTGTTGTGAGCGCCGTTGGGGAGCAAATCAGCTTTGTAAACGGTGACGTCATGACGCAGCAGCGGCAGCACCATCCCGGCTCTGAGTGGTGTGAACAAAGCCGGAGCAGAAAAGGGAAACCGGAGCTGAACCAGAAAAGCTCTAGCTCGGAGCTGGAAAGGGAAAAGCGCCGGTGTGAAAGCCGCCTCAGTGAACACTGACCACAACCAACTGTCCCATAATTCACAATGCTCCCTCCTTCAGCATCTTCTAAGTATTCCCCACAATTGCTTGCCAGAAAAATGCCACCAAAGCTTGGCATAGAACTTGCAGCTAAATAAGAATAGATAAGGTATAAGATGGATATAATACAAAATATATAATAGATATATTAAGATATAGAAGTGTGATCTAAAAAAGCAATCTAGTAATCCATTATCCACCAGAATTGCAGAGGTAGATACTTGGTCATGTGGGCCATTCATGTTTCATCCTTTATATTTCATCTTACAGGTGATTCTGTTATTTCAATTATTCAGGCAACATGCTGCTGCTTAACAACGCTTTCAGCTCCCAGCAAACTCCATCTTTATGTTTGTGCTGGGATAGTCTTAAGTTCAATTAAAACAAATCCATTTTGAGAGTGAAGACAACCTAAGACTCAAATGTCAGTAGGTGTTGTCACGTCAGTTATCCTTACCACGTGGGGCTTGAGAGTAGGGCATCTGAAGGGGCTGGTCTCGAGGGGTGAGGCCCCTCAGCAGGTCAGAGCGCTGGGCGGCCATGGCAGCCGCTGCAGGCCACTGGTGCATCTGCTGCGAGGTGATGTAGTCGTTGAGCAGCGTCTGGCGGTTCTCCAGGGCCGTTGTGTCGGGAAAGCCACGAATGAGGTAGGGGTAGGGGTGAGGGTACGCTGGGTTGGGCGCTAGGTGGCGAGGCAAGTAGTAGGCCGCTGTGTATGAAGAGAAAAAAAGTCTGTCAGGAAATGTCTGTCATTTGAAATCCAAATGATTACAGGCCATACAGACTAGGCCTAAGTAATACCTTTTACTTTCAAATGTCAGACTGGGACATTTTTTGCAAGAATCTTTTATTTATTTAGCTTTTTTTGACTACGTGCTGTACAACGGTACTCTGACTGCAACAGCACATAGTTCTCAATGATAGGAGAGATGTTTTTTTATAAACAGGGACAGACAGGGACAAGAAAGCTCAAACTTGTTGGAGCAGAAGCCTGATCAGGTCACAAGAACATTGTTTTCCATCTAAGTTGTGTCTGTACCTGGGTCAATGGGGATGCCCCGGGGCAGCGATGCAGGGTCGAAGGCTATGGGGATTTGACGGTACACGTCTGCAGCCCCTAGACCCTGCAGCAGGCGCTCGTAGGTCTGCTGATCTGGAACACCTTGGAGCGGTGATTTGGTGGCATTCATCTCTCTGGGGGTCGGTGTGGATTTGCGCTCCTGAGTCGGATTCTTACTTGAACCTTAAAGAAAAACAAGGAATTTTTTTTAATGTACAGCTTTGGTGAGGTGAAGGGTGACCTATGTTATTCCAAAGACTTAGACCCACCATCGTGTTGCCTTTGGCTTGCCTCCCTGGACAGAGGGGAGCCACGGTGCGAAGGCCCGGGGTAAGGGGCCCTTAAGGCGGCTTTGTCCTCGTAGCCCCCTGGACTATGATGGGACTTGCCTCCCTGCTCTGACCCCAGGGTAAGGGGAGAAGAGCGAGCGATACTGCTAGCTGTACTGACAACGGCGCTGGGCCGGCCTTTTGGCGCCTCTTCGTAGCGGCCCCTCTCAGCCCGCATCTCCAGGTGTGAGGCTGGGTTGTGGTAGGAACGTGGTGAACTGGCTATGATGGAGCGGACATCGTGACGCTTCCCTGAACCGGATGGCTCCTGCTTCATGGGTGTTCCCTGAACCCGACAGGAAATGATCAGTAAAGCATAGAGGATGCCAAACATTAAGGAAAGCCTCTGCATGAGTTATCATAGTGTTTGTACCTGTGCTATGATGCCCTCCTTGCCAGGCTCCCTGGGAATGAGGTGGATGGAGCGCCCTGCCTCCTTCACTGTCGGCACCATGGAGCCCTTCATTGGGTCCGAAAGAGACCCGGGCCCGCGGGGTGGGGAGTTCTCTCTCTTCATCTGCTTAGCTTCCCTCCTCAGGTAGCCATCCTGAGGGTCTAGATGACGAGGTATACCTGTAGTACAAATAAATACAAATCATGTCAATATTTTTGTTTTTCTTCAAGCAACAGTGGGCAGCATTTTCTTTTCTTTTTTGGAAGAGTGGAGTAGAGAAAGACATGAAAGACACGAGAGAGATGAAGAAAGATTTTGATTGGGTTATATCAGCTCAGTTGAACCAGCAGGGGTCCTGAGAGCATCTACTTCTATCTCTTGGCAAGATGAGACAAGATGGTTATCCGACTTTACTGGTATCAGATAAACATGAATATCAACATGAAAGTACTCCTGCCAGCGGGTGAGATCTGGTAAGCTGGCACAATCTGCTTCTTGAAAGCAAATAAGAAAAAAGGCTATCTTTCATTGAAGCTCTGCTGACTGAGCACTGGGAGGACAGTCTGATGAAGTGGGACAGAATAAGCTAGTGTGTTCAGGGAAAACACAAATAATGCACACAAAGAAAACAATTCAATCTGCTTTAACATTTGGATACTTTTCTCAACCCTTTTGTGTTATTTTGAAAAACAATATTTAGTTGGCGATTACATTTAGACTAGATGATGTCAAGATTTCTAACAAAAACACAGAGGAATTAACTTGAAGAAAAAAGGTCTCCCATCATAAGAAAGAAAGAATATGGAGGGAGGCAATATGTTTAATATTGAGGAGTCTTCTTACCTTGTGAGATCGAGCCACGGATGTGATGAGCGTCTTTGTAATGTTGGTGGTGTGGACTGTCCCGGTCATGAGGCATGGCTCGACCAATCAGACCTGAGCAGGATGAGGAGTAGTGAGATGTTAGACTACGGTCAATGAATTCATCAATAATGAGAGTTGTCACGAAGGGTAGAACCATGGTTTTACTTTCTCCCTGTGGGAGTGACAGAGTGATAAGGTCGGTCTCTCACCTTCACAGTTGGCAGCAGACAGTGAATCCCTCATAGGCAGTCCTCTGGAGATGCCTCCATCCATAATGTCATAAGGACGCTTCAGACCCAGAAGTTCTGCAGATTGCCCGGGGCCTCTGCCTTCATCTTTAATGCTCTGAGAAGGTGGGCCTGCAAAAGACAGAGATGCAACTAGGATTTGTTTAATGATACCTCTTAGTTAAGGGATAGTACTCACTCAATGACTCAAAGCAGGTTTCTTACACTTTAAAGAATGTTTAAGACTTTTTAAGCCCACCCAGTATTGAACTTTAGACTAACTTCACAATTATGAAAATCAATTATCTTATAGTTTAAAATCATGTACAAAATACACTGTGACTGGTATGTATTGCCTGGAACCGGTTTCAGCAATGCAGAACAATATTGTTTGAATAGCCAATTATCATTGTATTTTCACTTCCTCATGTGGAGTGCTGGAAGCATTCTGTCTTCATGTATGCTGTAGAATGCAATTTATTTGAATGTTGTTTCAAACATAGAGGTTGAGATGTTAAATTAAAATGTAAGGAAAACACATTTTTTTACATTTTAACACCAATTCAAGCTCTTTGATAAATAAATAACAGCTCCCCTTGATCCCTGCCGAGGTTCAGTTATGATTCAAAGTTAAGGTCAAGTTAGAACATTGTGATTTGTTGGGCTTGTACCAGATCTTATACAAAAATGAAAGTAATGCTTGGCCATGGCATAAAACATACTGCAGCCAAGTTGATGTACTCACGGTCATATGTGAGAATGTGTCCACTGATGCCCTCGTAAACCACATGGCCTTTAGATATCGCCTCGTCCCGTTCCCTCTCAGCTCGGCAGGCGCTGTCCTCACTGATCAGACGGGTAATGGTTCCCTTATACAGCACATCAGCCGGTGTCCCCTGTTAACAAAAGAGGACGGCCCTTACAATTAGCCATTTACAGACCTATTTCTGTTGGAACCACCTTTAAAAGTCTCACACAATCAAGTCTTATTTTCTGCAAATGCACTTGAACTTGCCTCCTCTGGGAGCATCATGCATAGGCTGGCTGCTAGTGAAGCAAACCCCCAAAAATAAATGGTATGAGAAAAGTCACTGTTTTATAGCTATTTAATAAAATAAAGATGATCATATTTCTGTCATAAAGGCCCCTAATAAAATGAGTTAAGATAACAGCTGGAAATAGCTTTGAATAAGTCACTGTGCAGTTTAAATCAACAACACTATTATGGTCTGGGTGACCAATGTAGATGACTGGCAATTATATTTGTTTTCCTTCTTTCAGGAATGTAGACTTGGATGCAATTGGAGCCTGTAATGCATCCTGTGTTGCAAAACATGTATTCTGTTTCTTGAATTGTTTGTGCCCCAGAGAGAGTGATGTTACAATGCTGAGAGATTACAGTGATCCAAATAAATAAATAAACAAAAACAAACAGCTGCGGAAAAAAAAAAAGTAGTACTCTATGAAGAAGCGGAGGTGTAACAATATACGACAGCAGGCTTTGTTAAAACCTTGAGTCACATCACTCGTACCCCGAGTATGAGTCACATGTCTAAACTGTTAGAGAGCGGTGGGCGGTGAGTGGGAGACACAGTTTGCCTGGGATCACATTTCTTGTCTTTTGGTTGCAGCTTTTCCAAGAAGACACAGCTGAAGGTTGAAGGCCAGGCCAGTAGGGTTAAGTTTACAGGATCAGGTAGCACTGACCAGAGCAGTCCTCATGTACTCCCAAAGAAAGTGCAACTTCTCTGAGTTATAATCGAGCTGTCCCTCGACAACGGTAACGATCATGCTTTATCGCTTTCACCTTCTCCATACTAATCCAGCATGGTGGATAACAGGCCCCTCAACACTTGTTTTCCCTTGTAGGCCAGTTGGATGTGATATTACAGTGACTTCAGACAAGAGTTTAGAGAGAATAGATATATTAAATAGGGAACAGACGCAGTACAGTGTGTACCAGATGCTAGGGTGTAGGGTTGCAACGGGTCAGAAAATGTTCGCTAAATTTAACAATGATTAAACATCTTATTTATTACGGGATTATATGCACTGCACTCAGCTCTCTCATCACATTTAAAGATAATTTGCCAGCATCCCATTTAATAGGAATTCAATAAATTACAACCCATTGCATTCACAGTTCATTCTCCCATGTGCAGCTCAAACTAATGCACAGTCTGACCATGCAAGTGTTGATTGGATTATTCAAGTGAATATATGGTAATGTTTTGTATGATATGGCCCACAGTGTTTCATTTGGTAACATCTTCTGCTAGTTTTTTCTAGCTAGCTGTTACCATATATAACAGCTATACCATATCGTTTTAAAACTATAACCATTTATTCTTTGTTGAAAAACCTGATTGATAATGGGTTGTTATTTTAAATCTGTATTTGCAGATCACAACTTGCCAAACCACATTTTAAAATAACATTTTTAGTATCTTGGTTAAAACGCTAGCCAGCTAACTCACCACAGTTCACACTGTATTTATTTGAAAAAGGAATGGCTGGATTTGTCAAACACATGGATTATCTCTGCTAATGAAATGTTTAAGGATTAGTTTCTATCTGCATGTGACATGTTTACTACAGCCTAACGAATAACCCTGATATTCACCCCCTGTTAATTCTAATGGAACTTTTCTTCTTTGCATATTCCTGGAATTCTGCAACCTTGCCCGGGTCATTTTTGCACTGTGGTTATGACACCGCAGCAGCTGCTCTCTCTTTTATCCTAAGTACACAAATCAAAGGCCAGTAACACAAAGGTGATTGGTTAACAACCAAAGTTTTAAACTGTGTGGGCAGGGGTTAAGTGACAGAAGAGATTTGTTCAGAACGAGTTTTAACTATCTGAAAAAGGTGTGGGAGTGAACAACTACGACTGTGGGTTGTCTATGTACCAGCCATTTAAGCTGCTACTACCATGAACCCTAACACAGTTTAATAGAGTCAGTTTCAGTTCACTATTTACAGCCATCAGCCTTCGGAGATAGAAATACATTTGAACACAGAAGAAACACTTAGCAATATCATATAATTTGTAATATAACAAAAAGTATCTCCTAAACCTACATAATAGCTCATTTACAGCTGATCATTTAACAAAACTGACTTATTTCAATCAATTTCAGAGGTTATTTAGGGGTTATTCAAACAAAAGGGGAAGAGAAACGTTTTCTGTCGTAATGCACTACTCAAATGTGAACACTGTCAGCAGAATACTCTTAACAAATGACGTTAAAGGATTGCCACACACAACAGAGAGACAAAGAACTTCACATTTGGGAGATTCTGTTACAGTGAGAGTAAAAACCAAGTGTGAGGTATTATCTTTGGATCATGGTTCCCATCATCAAACTAGCAGCCGAGGAATATCTTGAAGGGAAATGCCAAGGACGCCCCAACCAAAAAGTACAAAAATGTACTTTAAAAATATATGTTTTTTTAACTCAATTTGTTCCTTAGCTCTCAAACTAAAATTGAAGGAATTTAAAAAAGTGTACAATGTGAAGCATAGCAGAAATAGCAAACATATACAGATCTACTTAAATCTTTACTAGGATTTTCCTAGAAAGAGAGAAAAAGCTAGACTGGCATATATCCTCACACCTGTTTTGTACTAGGGCTGTACCAACTTTCATTTTGTTCTACATACAAAGCCTTTATTGAGGTTTTTAGATAATGCTTTAACTGTCTGTTATCATGTTTTACACACCATTGCCCTAATGGTTTATCCCTTTCTTGTGCAGCAAGTTTGAGAGAAAACTGCTTTAACCCCGCATATTTTTTTGTAAGGCTGGAACACAGATTAGTGTAGATTGATGGTGACAACACAGCCCCTAGTTAGAGACACACACACACACACACGACACACACACACAACACACACACACACACACACAAACACACACACACACACACACACACCACACACACACACACACACACACACACACACACACACACACACACACACACACACACACACACACACACACACACACACACACACACACACACACACACACACACACACACTCCTAAGAACTGTTACAGGATGTGTATTTTTTTTTTATTATGTAACTTTTAATTTTTTTATTATATAATAACTTAGTACTTTTTTTTTTAATGCATGTCACATATTTAACATTTGAACAATAAGCTGTCTGTGGCTCTTTTTCCTGCTGTAACTACGCAAATGTCCCTTCCGTGGAACTAATAAAGGTATTCTGATTCTGACAATGAGTACATCTTTTTTTTTTTCATCAAGCTCACCTGAGTAATGGATCCCCCTCGGTAGGAGATTGGGGAATCCTGATGCATTCTGGTCCCTGGGATGCCCTTAGTGATACTACCACCCTGAACTGCTGGAATAGAACCTGTGAAGAGAGCAAGTCAAAACAAATCATCCTTCAAATGAGTTAAAGTGGAGTATAATGTAAACAATTATTGGCAATAGAAGTTGCAAAGTGTTCTGCATGTTTGGCCAAAAGCATGCGAGCATAGCTGTAATCAAAGCAAATACACAGCTTGTATCAATCACGTTACGCAATCTTAAATGAATTTAGAGTATTATTAATGATTCAAATGTTTTGTCCAAACACTATCTATGTAAGTAAGAGTGAAAGCGTGGCTAAATTAACTTCTCCAAATGTATCTGGGAAAACTGTGTTGCAGCACCAGTGACAGGAATTAAAGCTTTGTATATTATTACTCTAGTTAGCATTTACTAGTTCTGAACACATGAATCTGGGCAGTTTCTCCCATTCTTCACATCCTCTCAAGCTCTTGCAGATTAGATGAGCTTCACTAAACTCAACTCCCGATATTCAAGTGAGATTTTTAACTTCAGGCTGGGCCAGTCAAGTACCGTACATTCAGGGACTCTCCCAAAGTCCCTCCCAGTGTGGTCCATGCTGTGTGTGCCTCAGGTCACTGTCATGCCGAGGAGGTTAATCTTTTCAGCATGACAGTGCTGAACTAAACATGTGGGAAAACTCGTGATTTGACTTTGTTATTCCAGGGTGTATGGCATCTTCCTTGATAGCAAAAGTGTAATCAGTTTCAAATAAATCTTTCATGAAGTGATATTTTCCAAGATTCTTTGATCATCTTTACCCACTAAACAGGAAAAGGACAAATGCAGGAGCAACATCTCAATACCAGTTTACTGTATATAGAAATCAAATAGAACCAGATAAGACAAGGTGAGCCACCCACCACGTCCAGAGGCACCATCGTGAGGCGACCCCTGGGTTGGCATGTTGTCAGCTTGAGAGGAAGAGCTTCGAGGAGACAACTGTTCCTGCTTTATCACGGGGAAAGGACCGCCTGGAGAGAGCAAGAGTTGGAAACAAGGGACAGTAATGAGGAGACATGTCTCTGCTGATCACAAAGTTGATGGCAACTTGCAGGAAATAAATATTAAAGTGAATTGTTCCCACTGCACAATTTTACTCACCCACTTTCCTCGGATCCATCCAAGACAACCCCATCTGTGTGGGGGTCATCTTCCCGTGGTCCAGCCCATGAGCAGGGCTGTGCAGCTGCACTGGGGTGCCCTGGAAGACAAGGATTTGGTCATAATGGTGCTTTATTTGTATTGTCTTTTGTATTTTCCATGCTGTATTTTCATATTGATTTAAGATTACATGTTTTTTAAGGTAATTGCTTTGGGCCAACTATGACTTGATTTGTGTTGGGCTATACCTGTGTGATGGAGCCTCCTGGCTTGGAGGAGGAAATAAGAGGAGGGGGATCAGGCATCGTGAGGGGTCTCACTGCTGCTAGCCTTCCACTGTCCTGTGGCAGATTAGGCAGTGAGGGGTGGCCTGTTTGCTGGAACGCTGGAGGACAGAAGTGATTATGAGATTTGATTTGAGTTTTGGCAGAGAGAAGTGGAGTAAAAAAGAATGCTTGTATCAAAGTTGAAGTCTTAATCAATCAACCCCTGTTTTTCGCCTGATAATGGTTCAAGAAAATGTTATTTGACTAAAATGACATTTTCGCTCGACTAGATTGACTGAATGTTCAATATAATCGGATAACTAAAATAGCATATCTTTCACAAGATCAAATATTAAACATTTTGACTTAAAGTATTGACAAAAATGACTTGTCCCTACTAAAAATAAAAATAAACAAAAATGCACTTGGGGACAGATTAGAGGACTCACAGTTGAAGTGGAGCAGGTGCTGGTCGTGACTGATCTTGACCATGTCTCGTGGGGACATGGGATAGGGGGAGAGAACGGGACGACCCATGTTGGAGGTCCTCAGGTCGTCGGGGCCCATCGCCTGCTTCTTAGCTTCACCGTGCGGAGAGAAAGACCGGGATTTTTCTGAAGAAACAACAACACAGAAAGTCAGAACTAAAAGCAACAACGGTCAGATAGACCTCCCCTAATCTAACAAGCTGTCCTTCAGCCGCCACTCACTGATGTCAACAACAACAATTGTCATCAACACCAATGTCATTGTTGTCTGTGAGCACAGAAAACCCCTCAAGCCTAATCCCAGCCAGGGTGATATCAACACTGAATTAACACGCCAGCATACATAACAAGCTTCTGCTTAATGTATTGTACACACAGTAAATCTAACAGAGGAGGTGATCACCCTGCAGTGTGGTTAAGGTGTTATTAAATAAAAGGGAATGGTGTGGCAAGGGGTGAACCTACTTAATCCCTGCAGGAGGGTCAGTAACCACCTCTCGTTGCCTTCCAGCTCTGAAGGGACACAAACACACCACAGATCATCGCACCTCACAGATTGTTCTATCTCACACAGAAACATGTGCTAACTACATTTACACGTTACTGCTATTTCCATATGGTGACTTTAGTCTGAGCTATCAGCCAAATGAGACTTAATAGTAACTATAATGTAGTTTGTAAATATGTCTACACCTGCCTCTGTGTAAGGTACCCTACAAACAGCTTTTTGTGCCCGTTTCCTTTCCAAAAATGCATGAGAAAATGGTTGCTGTAGTTCACAGCTGCTGTGCCAAGATGGTTATAAAAGACCTGTCTTTGCCGGGACTGTTGCTAAAAGTCTTACACTGTGCTCTCAGAGATTCACATTCCACACGCTCACAGTAAGTGCACTAAACTAGACTATATTCCCTTCTGGGTCAATAGCAATACCAGATCGTTTATCAGTTGCCTCTCCACGAGTGTCCCAGAAAAACTTGAATACCCTAAACACTAGAGACCACAGCCTTGAAGGTTATAACTTGTAGCAAGGACCAACTAAGTAAAACTAGATCAAATGCTCCTAAAACCGTATAATATGCAGCACATTCATTAACCTCCATTTTCTTTTGAACATTTCATGGGCCGCATTTACAGTGCTAATGTTGAATCCATGTATCCTTTGAGACAACTTTAGCAATGTATCATGTTATAAACACACATATATACAGCCCAAAAACAAGGGATCACAGATAATGAAATGATGGCTTGGGAAAAAGACAAATGCTGGAAAGTGTGTGAGGTGTTCCTACATTTGTAACTTAAGCAGCTTAGAAAGCAACATATATGAAAAACCATCTGACTGTGACTGGTATTTCTGTTATGCCGGAGGTGTGCGTACCATCCTTGTCGCTGGTGGAGGGGCTGCGGGGGCGCATGCGAGGACTGATGCTGTGAAGAGCCTCTCTGTCTCTCTCCGACTGCATGGTGTACGGCTGCTGTTTGCCGGGCTGGCCCGAGAGCAGCTGTTGCTGCTGCTGCATTTTGACCTCCTGAGAGGACTCCCCGTGAGCCATGGTGATCTGCTGCTGGTACAATGCCAGGGCGTGGGGGGGCAGCAGTGACTTGCCACCACTCCGCTGAACGGCCTGCAAGGCGGCTTCTGGCAACTACACACAGGATGAGAGGGAAAGAAAAAAGGTTAAAATCACACATAACAGAAGCCCACGCCTACCTGGCATTTGACATATGGTTAGCCACATACAGTATCTGATAAACATGATAGCTAATGAACATCTCTTGTTTCTTGGTAAGCTAAAGTTTCCCTAATGGGTGGGATCTCATTTCTTCCCCACAAAGCAATCTACCCATCAGCTTCCATCTGGCTGGCTTATTTCATACAAATATGACTAAACAATTCCACGTTGTACACCGTTATCTCTGAGACAGGGCTCAACGCTATCTTTTAAAAGTGGTTGCCAGGCTGGCAACCAGGCATCAGCTTTTGGTTGCCAGAACTGAAAATATGTTTGCCATTTTTAGTCACCTTATATTTTAAATAATTAAGACTACTATACAGTTATACATCACCTTAATAATGAAAATGTGACACAAAAGAATGTTCAAATGCTTTACAATAAGTAATTAACACAATTATTTGAAACTTAAGTGGTAGTAAACTTGTCCACTCTCAATTGCTGGTATCCTAAACACCAGTAGTGCAGCTGTTGTCATGTTCTTCACAGATCCCTCAAAAATGAAAAAACATTTATCTACTTTGGGGTGCACATTTTGCTGTTTGCTGTCCTTATTTCTTTATGTTAAAAACTGGTTGCAACGGATGGCAACCAAAGGCCAAGAAGTGGTTGACATTTTTTCTGAATGGTTGCCAATGGCAACTGTCGAGCCCTGCTCTGAGAGCAGAGACACAGGGATAGCATCGATACTACTGCAGTCAAAAAAGTGGTAGTGTGTGTCGAATCAGACTTGTTACAAAACTCTACCTGTGTCAAAGAGACTTTCAAAGCCTGGAAAAATATCACGCACATTGCTATTGTGTTATGTATGAGGGGAATATTTTAAATAAATACACAATGAGACCCAGAAAGTTTAACTAGTGACTCACAATGGGTGGTATAGCAGCAGCCCTCTGTTTGAGCTGTTTCAGGTCCAAGGGCTTCTGCAGTGGGGACGATATCACTCCATCATGAGAGTAGTTCAGTAAACTTGGCCGTGGAGAAGTGATTCTGCACAAAAAAAAAACAGGAATAAGTCACTCTTATTGGCTGTGCCCACTTTAGCACAAATGTATCAACCGTCAATCTAGAAAAAATGTTACTCAAAACAAGGCAGAGGTTCGGATTGCATTCAAATCCATTCACAGGCACAAAAATAAGTGTCTAAAGAAGGTGTTTAAGTATTTCAATGATGGCAAAATAAAATAAAAGGAATACATGGGGGGGGTGTATGTGTTTGTGTTATATGTACTATGTGTGTTGCCAGAGAGGCTAGAACCGAATTGCAAGGAAAAATCCATATCCATGTCTCGCACATCTGTTGAAAGCACACAGTATACTCTGAATCACAGACACACACTTTGTTGCACAACAACACAAAAGTGTACACACACACACGCACAAAACACACACACACTCAGTCCCTTTGTTTGCTTTGGCAGAGAGGGCAGCTTTTCCCCCGGCTCTGCCAGTACATGCAGTCTGCTGTCATGGAAAAAATTGAACAAATACCGTGCAAACAAAACTAATCACTCCTCCCACGCACTTTGACACCCATTTCTTGTGGCCTCATTCACAGACACAATGATATATATATGCGGGTGTGTGTGTGTGTGTGTGTGTGTGTGTGTGTGTGTGTGTGTGTGTGTGTGTGTGTGTGTGGCAAAGNAAAGAACAAATTTCACTGTGTGTGCTGTGTGCTCTGCATGTGTGACCAGTGGCGGTTCTAGACCAATTTAACTGGGGGGGCCACTGGGGGGCCAGTTATAATAACTGGCCCCCCAGTGGCCCCCCCAGTTAAATTGGTCTAGAACCGCCACTGGTCACACATGCAGAGCACACAGCACACACAGTGAAATTTGTTCTTTGCATTTAACCCATCCTAGTACCAGGAGTCTAGTACTAGAAGCAGTGGGTAGCTATTGTACAGCGCCCGGGGAGCAATGGGAGTGAGGGGGGAAGGGGCATGTCCGGTGCCTTGCTCAAGGGATCCACGGCAGGGCAGGAGATGAACTGGGACCTCTCCAAGTAGTCCAGACTCCATATTTTTAGGTCTGGTCGGGGACTTGAACCTGGCGACCCTACGGCTCACAGTCCAAGCCCCTACTGACTGAGCCACTATTTTACAGAAACAAAAACTTCATGCCTGGTGCTGCGTTCACCAGCAAGGAACACACACAAATGCCACCCCTCCCCTCTCTTCCCAACCTCTCTTCCACCAATCTAGAATTATTTTCTCTCCATTCATTCTAGTGAGCCGAGAGTGGGAGCCGGGGGGCGGGGCTTAAGGGGCGCATGCTCTGTGAGCCCACATACGGGTTCTTCTCCTCTGACAGCCAAGCATGACGGGTAATCTGTGACGTTTCGCTCTCTCGAAAGTTGGGCCATTTTGACTTCATGCGCCAATGAGCGGCTCTCATAGGAAAGAACGAGACCCCGCCTCCGACGCTGTATCCAGTTCTTATTGTCAATCCATGGTGCTCCCCCTTTGAGCACTGGCACAAGATGGCTTCCAGGTCTGAAAAAAGGAAATGGTGATTACTTTGAAATTGTGTGTTTTTAAAGACTGTTAAATTAATTTAGATGCATTTTATTAATTTGTCTATGTAAACTGGTTTTATAACTTTAACTGAAATAAAGACAATTCTGAAGAAAAATACACTACTTTTCTTAACAAGAAAATAGTCAAGCCAAAATGTTAGTGAGGGAGTGGATGTTTTCAATGTCGAGGAAAGCTGCTCCAGAGCCACTATTTCAAGGATACGTCATTGAGTGTCCCAATGTCCAGCATATAATTCTACCGAGGCCGGCGTACTTCGTTGTGGGAAATTTTGAGGCTGCTAGACTCCGCGGTCTTAAAATCCCCACAATGCTTTGCGCACAGACCAATTTCCAAAAGCTTTGGCCTCTCATATGACGCACACCTGCACACTTGCTAGCCTGTTCCATTCTTCGTTCTCTGAATGCCAGGAAGGATTCTTGCCTCGCTTCTGAAGGACCACGACTCGGAAGACATGTCCCACCAAGCAAGCGTCCTCGACATTGAGAAACACCCAGAGTGTGCGCTTCCTCACAAGAGGATAAACTATTTCTGATTCAACATGGCGTTTACTCAGACTAATGTCATGGCCCAAGGCTGCTTTTATGTATACAAATATTTACAAATGATACAGTTTTAATCAACTTTATTTAGATGTTCCTTCTGTACGACAAATGTGGTTCATTATATCTAGAATATTGGCTCTGTCTTTCTTTTACTTTGAGTGTTCTCGTAATGGGATTTTAAATGTAAGGCATGCTAATGGCAGTATGGTTCGTCTTTGTAATGATGTGTTATTGCACATAAACAAGACTACAAGATGGGAGTGATACGCTGAAATTAAAATGTCAACTCGTTATCTCTTTTAGCTCACACTATCAAACATGCGATGCAAGAATGGAACAAAGAGGTGCATATTACTGCTGGAATTCTCTTTCAAGCGCAGAGTATTTTCCAATAATGAGCATAAAGAAGCATGTTATCACTGTTATTGTGGTACCTTGTATGACCTAACACGCTTTTAAAACTGCTGACATTTGTAACTGGGCAGGCAATTGTTCCACAAAGCAATAATTTGCTGTCAAAGTGCTATTACACAGTATGTCTCCTCCCTGTGGAGTCACATTGATTTGTTAGTTGGCATTACCATCTCAGTAATAATCACTATGTATTTTGTAGATTGCTGGCCATGTGTGATCGCAAACGGACACGTGCATGTCTGTGTATGTTTCAGTAAGTGGCATCATTATCAATGTTTAAAAGATATGTTGTCAGGATGACGGTAACAAAACTGAAACCCTAAAGCTCTGATGGCAGCCTCCAAAGACTGCAATGTTTGTCCCCAACAAAATTGTGATTTCTCTGGGAAGGGTGAGTGTTCTTAGTGAAATGTCAAATCTGCCAAATAGTTTCTGATATTTCTTGTGTACAAGCAGTTTGGCGTCCAAAAGACAAAGATGTTGTTTGAAATATACTTTAATTAGTAGGGCAACACATTTTTGGGAAATTCAGTCATTGCTTTTTGGGAAATATTGTAATTGACCAAATGTTAATAAAAAAGAAAGTTTGACCTGATGCCCAATAGATCGAAGATCAAGGGTATAGATTTATAGAATAGATTGAATGGAAATCTGTTCATTACTTGTTGACAAATGTTTTCTCAAGTGTTGAACAGATGGCCAGACTGACCAAAATCTCAATCTTCAGTCTGGGCGCTAACCAGTCTGATTTACAAAAAAATCTTTTAGATCCATCTGTCAACTGTTCCAACCATGCTCATTACGTTGGTTTTTACTGTTATAAAAGTAATTAAAATATTTGAGTTACTCTGAAAAAGTAGACACGGAACATAGCTTCTAACAAAAACTACCAAATCGAATTTCTACTAGGTAATGAATTTTTATTTACCTTTTTTACTCCTACGAAGTTACGTACCCTTTTTACAGTTTAGTTCCGTTAGAAACTTGGACCTACAAA